GCGGTAGAGGCGGAGAAGGCTGGGAGGCAGTGTAGGGGCTGACTAGTTTAGGCTGTGGGGATAAAGGGGGCATAAGTGAAGTGTAGGATCGATTCATAGACTCCATTCTGGCCTAAAAAGAGTATAAAAGAGGGGTGAGAGAAAACACAACAAAAACAGTTACAGAGGTCAGCTGTGAATGGGTAAAAGTAAAAAGCAAGGATGCAGGGACATGCATGAAAGGGTGCAGCAGCTGTGAGCATACAGATGAGCAAGGCAGGAAGGCTAAAATCTGACTTCCTGGGCAGTGAGAGCAGAGGGGAAATCCGTTTATCCAACAATATTTTCAAATAGGTAGACTGTCTAACAATCTAGGAACAATGTCCTGTTGCAAATGCTGTTTGAATGGGAGCCCTCCACAGGAGGGCTCTGGGCACTGGGCCCTGCCCGAACTCTGGCAAGGGGTGATGTGATGGCTCGAGTTCACCTTTCAGTCCATGACTCATCTACATCAAGCAGATGCCATAGCTGGGTTTAGGAGTGCTGCTGGAGGGCCTCCTGAGGAAGGAGGACAGCTTTCTGATGCTAAAAGCTGACACTCAGAGTATGAGAATGTTCAGCAGGCGTGCACAGTCACACAGGAATGAATGAGCTTGACACACACGTGTTCATGTGAGACACTTGCATCCAACATGCACAGAAGTCCAGCAATACAGGTAAAGAAGGGGATTCTTTACATTTGTTTTACTGGAAAATACATAAAGAAATGCTTCATAAACATTACAGCAAAAGATCGTAACAAAAAAGATCATACAGAAAAAGCCAGAAGAAAATGAAAGGATACTTTGGAAGGCTAGAGTAGAGGAAATATATCAAGAAAGGGGAGCTAGAATCTGCCAACAATCTGCTGGCCAGCCCATCAAGCACCTTTGGCATTGCCCAAATTACCACATCAGGCCACTTATTTCAGGGACTACTCAGGCATGAATGTGGTTCAAGTACATTTGAAAAGAGCAGAGGAAGGACCCTTGTTAATAACTTTGGGTATATCTTTTAGGCTCTTTGAACATCCTAGGAGCATCCAAGATAAACCATTTCTTTTCAATTATGAATGGTATCTAATTAGCACAGAGAATGCTTAGGTTAGTGAACTAGAAGGCTCATTACAGGGCTGCATTCTAATGCTCATCAGGACACTTGAATGTTTCTTTAAAAACTGAAAATCGGCCCGGCCCGTGTGGCTCAGTGGTTGAGCGCTGAACCATGAACCAAGAGGTCCCCAGTTCGATTCCTGGTCAGGGCACATGCCCGGGTTTTGGGCTAGATCCCCAGTAGGGGGCATGCAGGAGGCAGCCGATCAGTGTCTGTCTCTTATCGATGCTTCTATCCCTCTCCCCCTCTCTCTCAAATCAATTAAAAAAAACATTTTAAAAAAACTGCACATCAAAGTAAAAGCATTAGTCTGCAAGACTTGGTTACAGGAGTCACCCAGGTTAACATGTTTCCAAAGAGCATCCCCTGACCTTAACTTGACCCTGTCTTGGCTGCTGCAGGGGTGTAGACCTTAGCTGTGCTGGCCTTTTCATTTGGCACCTGAGACTGAGGTAACAGAAGAAACACAAGGGGATCAAGACTCAAACACCTCACACTGCTGCACAGCAAGGTTCACACTTCTTCGTAAACTGCAATAAGACTACACAGCTTAATCACAGGGCGTGCGAACCTTTGTTTTCCTTGGCCTTTCATTTAAAATGCAAATAGATAACACCATTAAAAATTTAGTAAGATAAAGACTTTTCTTCAGATGCCTGACTTGTGTAAACCTGCTTCTTTACTACATACATTGAATTATTAGCACCAGAAAGGGGGGTTGCTCCATCCAAATTAAGTGGGAGAAGAGAGAGGACGATTTCTTAAAGTTTCAGCCTCTGATAAGGAGTTAAACTATCAGTGTTTTGAGAATTTAGGTCACTAGAACTAATTCTCAAATATTTACTTATAAGAGACCTCCACATTGGGTTACTAATGCCTCCTCCACCCTCCCGAGGGCGGGTTAACTAGATATTCAAATTAAGGAATAAAGTGTAGGAAAATAACCATTTAATTCTCACTGGTAAATGTACTTGTGTAAGTGATTCAGAACAAAGAACGAAAAAGTCAAAATGATTATTGGGTAAAAACAAAATGATGAGGCCAGGCCAGGTGTGCCACTGGGTCCTCAGTGATGGTGTGAACTCCTGCCTACTGAGGGCTAATGCGAATGCGGCCAGGACACACCCTCGCCCATAGCTCCAGAGCCAATCTGACATGGTGGCTCTCAACTGTCTAAAGAACCTCCCATTTTCCTACACAGTCTTGCAATAACTATATTCGCCCCTCAGTGTCCCTGAACAAGCTACTACACAAGGCTCAGGGATCCAAAACTTTAGGGGGTTAATTTGAATATAGCCTTCCACATACACAATAATTTGAGAAAATTCATCAATGGGCAGAGAAATGCCAAAAAGAATAAAAGAAAAGAAGATAAAAGAATGAGCCCGAATAAGTTCCATTAATAACAAATAAAGAAATAATCAACCATTAGCAGCTTGTCTGGAACAAAATTAGGGCACTGGCACTACATGGTGCTGCTCTATCCATACTGATTAAGGACGAAGGAAGGAAACTGTTATTTCTTAAAAATGTGAGCCACTGAAAAAGAGTTACACTGCCAGGGTTTTTGTTGGTTTGTTTTTTGAGCTCTTAGGTCACTAGAGCCCATTCACAAATATTCATTTCTGAGGAGAAATCAAAGAAAGAATACAAATATAAAGCCAAGAAAGGTTCCTAATAAAGGAATAAAAGAGAGCAGCAAGCTAAGCCCATGGAGCACCACAGGTTTTCCTGTTGATGAACACAAATGGTTACCTTGCCAGACTCTTCCAACTGAGTGCCTCGTTTCCAGGCTTCGGAGAAGATGGAGCTCACTATGCTTTGGGAGCGGACATGTCCGGCTGGCTGGGTGTCAGATACTCCACTATCAGACTGAGTCGAGTGATTTGACTGAGACTCTGTTTAAAACAGATTTTTTAAAAAAAATAGGATTACTTAAGTCAGTATTCTCACAGTATGAATATGTACGTTCAGAAAGATCTTTTACACAAGATCAGGTATTTTATAGAGGAGCAACAAGTTACTTTTACTCATCTCATATAAAGCACAGCCTGTATTTTCCACTTCGAAACTTCCCTTACCTTAGGGGCTAATAGGAAATCTTGATTCTTTTACAACAGTTCACCATGAGAGACTGATAATTACAATAAAAGGTTCATATTACACTATTGCTATCCTGACAATCTGTCTTGGAAGAACTCCTAGCAAATGAGAAAATTAATGAACCATCAATAGAGTAGTGAATTTTTTTCCCCAAGTGTATCTTCATTACATCGCGATTCCATCTTCTTATATGCCCCTGCTCCAGCCATCCTGGAGAGTTCTCACTTGGGAACTTAGATCTATACGTGATGATCACATCCTTTTTACCAGCAATGAACAGTACTTAGAATTTGACCCCCAAGTGAGAAGTGTGTTTCCTAAGGATTCAGGTATTGGCACCACAAGGCAGCAGCCATACTATTAGCCTGGCCTCCTGGCAAGGCATGAGGACAAGTCTTCAAGGGAGCTGGGGATGGCTGAGGACACAGTGTAGTCTGAATGACTCCCAGGGAGAAGGAACTGGGAAGATTACTTCACTGGAGTCAGGTAAGACAACCATACAGAAGCACCTTGCTCAATGCCTGACATCTGGTAGAGACTCAAATATTATAGCTAGTCCTATCCAATTGCTCTGTGAGATGTGGACATTATTAGATTGCCCAAGATACTGTCCCCTCTAGCAATAAAAAAAGCTCATCTACATATTTATTATAATTTAGAAATTAGGTGTGGCTCTGGCTTTTAAGAATCATGCTGAAGTAACCAGGTCTACTAGCACTCTACAGAGCACCTCCATATTGCTAGTAAACAGTGCTTTGAGCATGTCATACTTACCTGGGATGCTGGAAGAACTAGATCCTGACTTAATGCTGGAGCTGGATAGGGAGGTCCAGTCACAGGCAGACTCTGCCCTCTTCAAGGCGTCCTGATAGTTCATGTAGAGCTGCTTCCCATACTAAACAGAAGGCAGTGAGAACATCTGAACTTCACAGGGCATGACACAGATGGGTGGGTAGGAAAGGGGGATACATTTCTCTTTACTGCTTCATAAGTGTGTATTAAAATTAATACCTATAATCCTTCAAATATACTTTTAATACCAGTAAATTATAATCTACTCTTGTTTTTCCTCATTTTTACAAAGGCAGCAAAAAGTTAACACCTGACTGTATTCATTATCAATATAAAGATTTTTTTTCAGTTATCCCTCAAGCAACTTCGATTTTATAGCTAAAATAAATGTTATTTCCAGTTACTTAGTAGGCATAAATATTCCTTCATTATGTATAATCATCTTTAAGATGCCATTTAAAATATTTTTTTAAGACTTACTTTTTTATAAAGCAGTTTTAGGTTCACAGCAAAACAGAGGAAGGTCCAGAGATTTCCCATACACTACCAGCCTCTAAACATGCACAGCCTCCCCATTACCAACATCCCCTACCAGAATGGTACCTTTGCTACAATCAATGAACCAACATTAACACATAATCACTCTAAGTCCATTTTATCTTAGGTTTACTCTTGTTGTTGTGCATCCTATGAATCTGGACATGTGAATAATGACATGTATTCATTATGATAGTTTCATACAGCATGTGAATATTTCACTGCCCTAAAAATCCTGCTCTCTGCTTATTCATCCATCCCTTCCCCCACCCCAAGACAATTTCATTTTAAAAAAATTCCTTTTGTTTAGGCTAACCTCTGCTATATAAGGATCACATAACACATGCTCCAAAGCCAAAATAAATCACTCTGATGCTACACAAGCTTTTACTAGAAGCATTATTCCACAGATACCAACTGTTAAAAGTTTATGCCTATCACCAAAGAAAAAAAGACACTTAAAACATAAGGCCTGAGAAAACTAGACATTGGCAAAATCATGAACATGAAACAACCAGAATAACTGTCATGACAATCAAAACCATATAATTAAATACTTCGTTATTCTGTCATCAAACCCAAAGAAAACTTACCTTTGCAATGCGAATACCATTGACCCACTGGTGTAGGGTTCTCACATCATCACAACAAAGGTATTTGATGTACTGAGATTTCTTTTGGATTTGTGGGTGCTGCAAGATTAAAGACAAAGTCCAACTAAGTCTGCTGGAGAACTAAAGAAAAATAAACTTTAACAAAGCTAAAATATATCCTGACAAGTTATAGGCCATCAGGCTAATAGCCAAATAATTCATACCTCACATAAGGCCATAAGGCCCATAAATAAAATGGCCCATAAATATAGCTACAAAATAAATGAGAAACTTGTGTTGAGTTTTAGGTCAAGGTATCCAAGTTAAAAAATATCTTCACATTATGGGAAATTCCCACATACCCTTTCTACCTTTCAAAGAAACAAAGTCCATCAGGGGTAACAAAGTCAGTAGCATTCTTAATCTCTGAGACTATGAAAAAAGAAAAAAAGCTTGATTTTACACTGAACCCACAGAAAGGGGTTCAAAAGACTCCAAACGAGAGTCTTTGGGGAAGCTTCCAGTGTCTCTGGAGGCGAACAACTGGGCAGGGTGGACCACGCATAGGGCATAGCACCTGGGACGCGACTGGGCGCTCCCACCTGTTGCAGCGGAGCCCAGAGAACTGAGCACTGCTCTGCAGGCCCCTCTACCTGCAGCACATGCTTTCCAGGTTATGAGCAGCTTTTCAACTGCCTCATCAGATTGTTTTCACAACCTACTGTACTTTTCAGTTGAGGGTTGACTGGGAAGTGACTGACCTGACCTTGACTACAAAATGTAGTGCTAGAACAGACTTAAGATATTTTAGCTCCAATGGTCCACAACCACTAGTTCCCTGGGAAGAAAAACTCTAAATCACACTTGGTTTTGGATGTTATAACTGTTAATTACTACTTCTCTTTTTAGTTATTCTGAAACATTTAAAAAATGGCAATATTTTACCTGAAGTATTTAAATTATGTTCAATTATAAGGGCCTTTAAAAATTATCCAACCATATTTGTTTGTTGTGGAAACCCAAGAAATCAGTAAAATAAGCAATCTGAGTAAGTTCTCAATGCAGCAGGAATAGGTGGCCACCATTATATGTTTTTGTATTTGCATTGTTAAAGACCGATCTCTCTAGTCTATAATGAGAGAAATGTAAATTCATTTATTCTATTCTATACATTGCTTTACAGAGCTCAGCTCCTATGATAAAACATTTAATAACAAAACCAATTTAGTTATTGAAAGCTACAGTTTTAACCATAATCCCTCAACAATAAGAGGTCAGTAAAACAAAACAGTTTTTTCTCCTGATAATATAGGCTCCACAGCCTTCTCTTGGAATACATGCCCTTGTCCTCGTTAAATCACATTATAATAAACCACCATAGCAATCTTGGAAGGGTAAAGGAAGGAAGGTAGAGAAGTATGTACTTTTCTATAAGAGAAGGAATGGGAATTTTCATTCATTCATTCATTCAATAAATTTTTATTGAGCTAGGACTATCTGCCAGATGCTTCAAGTAGATGTTGGGATGCAGTGTTAACAAAACAGAAGAGGCCACAGTCTGTGCAGAAGATAAAATGAGATGGATGAAAAAGAACTTTCTTTAGTGTTGCCAACTAGGGCTAGAAGAGCTGTTATCCATCTCCTGCTTCCCTGAGACAATGCCCACTGAGCCGGGTTCAGACATTTGAACAAGGGGCTACAGGATGGCTCTGAGCCTTCATCCCCACCCCTCCCTTTACAGTGGCTTACAAACCATTCTTGACTGATTCCTCCATTTCCTGACAGTAGGGCTACCACCATGGGTGTTCAATTGCAGCAGTGGCCCTACCTGAGAGAGTGTGTGCTCCTACACAAAGGGCGTGTTTTTATCAATACAAGGTCAGAGAAAATCAAAGAGAAATGATCCGTATCCTTCTCTCCCCACCTCTTTGAGAATCAAAATAACACCCTGAAGAGTATTATGACATGATTATTTGAGTATTTGCAGATTTCCACTAGTTTTAAATTCATTTTAGGACCTCAAAAATTCTCTTTCAACCTCCCACATAAAGGAATTCATTCTATAGCCTTCATTACGGTCATTCAGGTTCTGTGCCAGTATCTTAGGAAAATGCCTGTTCCACTAATATACTATTATTTTATTAAAAGTGGCATTTATTGAGTACACAGTATGCACCACAGTATGTTAAATATTTCACATATATTAGCTCATTCAATCCTCATGAAAACCCTATGAGTTACATATTATTACCTCCACAATCTAAGAAGGAATTGGAGGCACAGAGGGGTTAAGACCACAATCAAAGTTATTTGCCAACAAGTGAAAGAGCCAGGATTTGAAACCATGCGATCTTGTTTCAGGGTCCATGCTATTAAATATTATGTCTTACTACCGTCATATAAGTGGTAAAATCATCTTCCAAACTTGCTTCTCTTTTCCCCAAATATTATTCCACCACTTTTAAAATCACACACGAGCTAAGAGCAAGTATGGAGGAGACATTCTTTGCTAAAAATCAGAAGCTTTGCATTTAAATTCTTAAACACTCCAAAGAGAACATATAATGAAATTGCTCCCCAAAACAAATGAATAGCTATAGCGAAAGAAAGGTCATTATTTCATTTCTAAAACAATGTTGATCTGGAAAGTTTGAATTATTTCAATAATTCAAATAAAAGGTAAAAATTCTGAGAATAAAAACATTTAGAATACTGTGAAAAATTCTGGATTACTACGGTGCTATTTGGTTATTTTTCTGTTTATGCCAAATTAACAGATAGATTGAGGCGGGTAATTTCTAAAACTCTGTAACTGAAGGTGATGCTCTAAAATCACAGTCCAAGGGCGAAAGGAAAACCACTGAAGGTATATTAAGCATCTATTACTTTGAAAACATATAGGTTTGAAAATTAGTTCCCTCAAAACTAACATTCAAGAAGTTAAAAAATATATATGTAACACTCCACCTACTCAAACACTTTTGATCCCTCTAAACCTCAAAGAAAAAAACAACACTTAGAACAAAAATATTCTTAACCTAAGAATTTTATAAGCTGCAAAAGGAATTAAAATACTGCAATAAATAACAAGTGCTGGTGAGGATGTGGAGAAAGGGAATCTTTATATACTGTTGGTGGGATTGTATATGCGCAGTCACTATGGAAAACAGTATGGAGGTTCCTCAAAAAATTAGGAATACAAGTACCATAGGATCCAGCAATTCCTCTGCTGGATATCTATCCAAAGAACATGAAAGCACTAATTTGAAAAGATATATGCACTCCTATGTTCACTGTAGTATTATTTACAATAGCCAAGATATGGAAACAACCTAAGTATCCATCAACAGATGGATTTTCTAGGTCACCATGTGATGCCCAGAACTGCAGTGGCCATCTGTGACTGTGAGGCAAGCCAGCCTGAGAATAAACTGACAAGCAAAAGATGAAACGGAAAGATGGAAAGAATTTGGGTTCTCACTGACAATCTGAGTCATTAAAATAACCAACTCTTACTGTCCTCATGTAATGAGATCCCCAAATAACTTTTATTTATACGGGTTATGTTTATTGACACTTACTTTATAAGAAATTAAAGCTTAGAAAAAATTAAAATACAAGAATATACAAATACACATTCCACTACCCAAGAGAGCAAAAATATCATCATGTCATGTAACCTCTTTGAAAATGTCATTATACATCTGTGAGAGAATGTGAGTGTAAAAGGCAAGTAACACCTTAGCATTGTTAGAAGAGTAATTCTGAAATCAGGGACCCCTTGACAGGTCCTCAGGGACTCCCAGGGACCTTGGACCTCATTTTGAAAGTTACTGTATTAAGCTACTTTCTATTGACTTTTAAAAAACTATTTGCTGCTGTAACCTAAAAGATACAGCAGTACTCTCCAAGAGAGGAATACCTAAAAAAGGTTTACCATTATAATACGCCTAATTTTATCAAAGCAATAAAAACTACTCCAAAACCCTAAACAAATACCATCTCCCCAAACCCAACTGACAATTCTCAGAAAAGCAAAATCAAATGAACATGTAGACCGAAGTAGCTACCAAGGGGTTATTAAGATGGAGCCAATGACAAAGACATAATCATCTCCATAATTATCCTGGATTTTTAAAAGTTGTTTTTATCTGTGTCCCAACAGATCACTAAAATTTCACTAAAAATGTCAGTTCTCAAAGTACAGGTATAATTGGTGTGAGAAGCTCAAAATTTAGATAAGGGGAGGGGAACCCTAAAAACAGCTTAGTCAGGCCATAATACATGCACAGGTTATCAGGGCTATAGCTGTGTACTGTGGGGGAGATGACAAAAATTATTTCTGGACTAGATGAGAGCCAGTCCACTTTGACCTTGGCCACAGTGCCCTCTGATGGTTCTACTGAGTAAGTACAGGAGAAAAACTAAACCACCCAAAATTTCTATGTCCCATGTTTGGTTCTGGTGTAAGTTTTCCTAAAATAAGTCTGTTATGAAATGAAAGCCTCAAATTTATAATCTAATCTATTTTATATATTATGACTTAAAGCTTATAATCTAGTATCCATGTCTTAGTAGCATCAATCTAATGTGGGCTACTTAGCTAAGGGTCACCTGTGGTACAGCACACTACTCACTATCCTTCATCATTCCTTTAAAAATCTATAGAAAAAAGCAAAAACAATATACTTGATGAAGATCCAAACTATTCTAAAATGTCCAATAACACACTCTAACATCAATTAAAATTCCTTAAAAGAGATACATGTTTACCTTTAGTACTAGACAATAGTCTGTAGGGGCTTTGTATTTGTTCCGATAGTCCTGTCCATAATAAACATTGACATGATCCAGCTGGAGAAAGCATACGAGATCCCGGGAGACCTAAGATAAAAAACACCCAAATGAGTGAATTAACAATGATGTGTAAGCAAGCAAATATCATTACTGGTAACAGTTTCTAGTAGAAAATCAAAACTTTACCAAGCAGAAATTACTGCTATTTTGCAAAAGTGAAGACAGTGAGGTTCTCTATAAATGTTTCTTTTTTAATCCATGAAACAACAAAACAGGCTGTCCCTGTCACTTACTGTCTTACCGTTTACAATAAACACTGGCTTGCTTGGAAAAGGGTGGCATTTTAAAGAAGCTTTAAATATGGTATAGTATATTAAATAAAATACAGTACAATAGAGCTCTCTGGAAAGAACAAGAAAATAATGTAGTTCATTGTTTGTACATGCATATTTCAAGTACAGTGATTCTCAAGTTGGGGTTTCCTCACTAGTTAAATAGGGGCAACAATAGATACCTCTAGGATGGCAGTAAAGAATGGAAGTGATACTGTAAGGAGCTTAAACAGTGCTGGTCCCCCTGTAAGCACAGAAGTGATAGGTACCAAGGGGGCCCTCATAAGAAGCATATTACCCAAGCAAGGCTGAAACATCTATAATCCCAGAAAGCTATTCTCTCCAAACAACAAGCAAAAACTACTCTGGTAGAAGTCCCCAAAATAATAAATAAAAGTATGGTTTCAACTTTGGCAAGAGAACCGAGATGGGCCTAACTAGTGACCAGAGAGGGAACATTTTCAGGTTTCTTCTTCTTCGTAACAGATAAGTAAACAAAGCGATGTTCTGTGTGTCCTACAGAAGTTGAAACAAATCAGAGCCTTGATTCACCCTGTCAGCACACTCACTACAAGCTGAAATCAATGAGCATAATGAAGAAACTCAAAAGCCAGCAGAAGGGACATACCTTTGCTTTTCCTTTAGGGACATAGTAAATACCAGATGCTCGCAAGAGAAAATAACGCTTTTTCCAGGACTTCTTGCCATCATCTTTCAACCAAAGGACTCCTTCAATTTCTGGTATAGTTACAGAACTTCCACAAAAACATTCCTAAAAGAAGATAAGTTGGAAAGACATATGATCTTTGGGTTCTCAGAACAAAGTTGTGTTTACCCCCTATGAAATGTATGACACTGTAATTAAACCAAAATGGCTTTGTATTAAAACCATGCTACTAATTTTACCTCAATTAGAACTTTCTATTCTAGACATACTATGGATTTATTTCAGAACTGTTATGACAGTTCTGAACTTTTACCTAACACTGTTTTGAAGAAACTAAGATGAAATGTCAACTGAGTTGCATGTAAAGCACTTAAGTGCATTTGTAAACAGCATACTTATACTAAATTTAATAAAAGTGTCGAGCTAACATAAACATTGAACTTTATATTTTTCCAAATTAATAATACATTTAGATTAGCTCTCAAGCTAAATAGGAATACATTTTAAAAGAAAGTAACATACTAAGTGAATGAGTAAACCATTTAATTTAAAAACTATCAATTTATATGACTCTAAAACAAAGAGGGCATTTATTTTTAAAATATTTAACACTAAAGTGAAAGAAATGTAAACAAACTCAAAATTCTGAATTCTGTCTATACTTAGATAAAAACTTAATTTTAAAATAAAAAGCAATCGTGTATTTTGGTAAAAGAATTTTAGAAATACTCACTAAACATAGGACACTTGGAGACTAAATTAATTTCTCTTTCCCCAAAGTACGGAAAAATGAGGAATTATAAAGAGGATTTTTCTTAATTGTAGTGAGTATCATATGAAAAGCTGAATACTGATCTTCATTTTCCTAACTGCCTTGTTGCAAGTAAGCATTTATTCAGGTTTTCAAACACATGAACTTCTTTGATCTCAGTTCTCTTAAATTAGCAAAAGCCAAAAATTCAATTATATTTGAATTTGTTTTTATTACTCTTCAAAATAAGGAGATGCATATATTTTAAAATTGATTCAGTAATGTAAGACTAAGGCTTGAAATATTTTGTAAACAGCTAATTATATTCAAACTTCTCTCTGGGTAAGCAGATAAAACAGCACAATCATATGCTTCATTGACCAGCCTTTTTTCTCCCACTCATCAGCCCCCAAAGCTCATGCCCCTTGTAGTGTACCAGTTGAACTCTCTCCATCAAGCTATAGAAGAATCTAGCCTTCTCTAGTTACAACTGCAAAAGTAAATATACTGCATTGACATACCTGACTTCAAAAAATGGTGCTTAATATTTTAGTATTATAATGGGGGAGTGAAGAGTCATACCTCCAACAGCACTTCTTTGTTTCTATCTGCCATCTCAGCTGTTTCCTTTTTCCCCAGAAGATAGTTCTGGAAAAATGGATAAATGAAAGTTAAAGGATAAACACATTCTGTTATTCCCTTGGCACAAGAGTATATATATGATTTCTTCTAGAGATACTGCAACTCTGTGTCAGGCTCTGCCTGTGCAGAGTGAGAAGGAACTCTCTTTGAAAAGCAAGCTGTGCATGAACACCATCATTAAGTGGTTAATGGTGGCTCCCTCCTTATCCATTCATCTTGAACTACTCCATAAAATTGCTCTCCCCCAAATTGTGAGGTGATCTACATGCAACAGTATTATGTTTTGATATATCTAATGAAAGCTGTGTTTACAGAACCTGAAAGGCTTACAAATTATTAAGTACAACAAAGAAGGAAAATTTCCTTAAAATATGCTGGGTTCAACTGATCTATATGCAGACAATTTAATCTATGTTCTGGGTTTTAAAGAAGAAATTCCAAATTCTCTGAGACTACCATAATCTCATTTGGGTGACTCAACTAAAATATGAAATTTAACTATTAGCTTTATGAAAATTTTTTCAACAATCACCTATAAAAAGATCTGTTGGTATTACCAAATGTGTATTCTTTACTTAAAATATCCAGTAAAGATGTGTCATGATTAAGCCACCTGAAGGATAACTATTCAATACCTTTAACACTGCTACTACTTTTCCTCATTACTACAATTTACAGTGAAGTTGTTTTCTCTCACCTACTGATTTTTATAAAATATTTGGGCAGTAGGAAGTATTAACTCAAACATTGTTTTGAAATAAGAAAAGATACAAATAGATCAAGGTAACGTATATTACAATGTGGAACTTTATAATCAAGGTTACTGTGATTAAAAAAAAAATCAAAATTATGTGTTAACTGGATAAATGACTGAAGTAGAGAAACTTAAATATGTAAGTACTTTTCTTTGATAGATGAGAAACTCTGGATTAGAGAGAGCAGAAACCTGAAATCTCCCTGGAGTTACTTCTGCTGCCCCCCCAAGGGCTCACCCATCTGGCTCTTCAGGCTGGTAACCTCTTTGAGGCCCAGTAGTCCCTCCACCTTAGCAGTAGTGAATGCTCCCATGGGGTTTTACAACCACAGTGTTCCACCCAGGTGGTTGCCAGTCTTTTAACTCTATTAACTTAGCAGCAATAGAATAATATAAGGACTTAAAAATCCTCATATTATGTTATTGAGTCTTACCTGTGGGTTTTTGAAAAGTGCATTTTTTTCTATACGCTCCATAAATATAAGCTTGTTTTGACTATCTCTTGTCCAGTTAAGGAGATTTTCAACCAAGTTTTCATGGTCTTCAAAAATTCTCTCTGTCCCAAAATAAAATACCAATATTTTGTTAGTATTCGTCAGAACTGCATCGAAGATACGAAACCTTGCAAAGTAATTCACAACAGAACCATAGAATCTTTACTGACACTACAGCCCTGGGCCCTTAAGAGGTTATGTGGTTTTCCATCTGTTTTCAAATAAGCGAACATGCCCTAATAGTGGTAAGTGACTTCAGCAAGGTCACATAGCTGCTACGTGGAAGAATTAGGACTAGAATCTAGGTCTCCTAAACTCTAGGCTGTCTTCAGCTTTCAGCCTTTTCCCATTCCATCCTTAAAAAAGAACATGTTAGTTGCATTTCATAAATTCTGATATTAAGTATTCACAATAGTATTCAATTCTTTTAATTTTCAAATTTTCCAATATAATTTCTTCTTTGAGCCATGGGTTTTAATTTTAAACAAAGATGTATTTTAATTTCCAAATGAGGAACCAAAGCACATGTCCTTTAGATTGAACATATATTCAAAGAACCTATTCTAGATACTAATTTTTTGAAATTTCTTTAGAGTTGCTTCTGGCCTCACGCTTGAATTAATTTTTAGAAATATTATACTTCTGCTTGAAAAGAATGTATATTTTCCTGTAATTAGTGTTCTAAATGTATGTTGTAGATCAAAGGAATTATTTTTCAAATCTCCTGTATCTTTTTTTTGTCTGCTTGACTGTACTGATCACTGAAAAGATTCTTAGGTGTAAAGGTTCTACCATGAAAGCTGACTTGTGAGTTTCTCGTGGTAGTTCTATCAACTTTTGCTTTATACATTTTATGGTCTCTTTCTAGTGAGTATGTGTGTTCTCTTCATCTCTAGTAATGCATTTTGCTTAAAGTCTATTTTGTCTGATATTAACACAGTTAATTATCTTTCTTTTGGTTTGTATCTTTTCACATTCCTTTTACTTTCAACCTTTATGTATCTTTAAATAGGTCTTTTGTAAACAGCAACAGCTGCATTTTGTTTATTTGTCCTTTCTAATAGTCATTAATAATTTACATTTATCATAATTTGTTTCCACCATCTTATGTTGACCTCTTAGTAGTCTTGTTTTCTTTTCTTCTATTCATTCAACAAATACTGAATGACCACATATATATTTTTAAATTTTTATTTTTCAACTACAGTTAACATTCACTATTATTTTTATTTTACAAAGTGATTCCCCCAATATTTCAAAAACCCACCTGGCTCCATACACACTCATCACAATATTACTATTATTAAAACACTTTATTAAACTTATTGGGGTGACAATGGTGAATATGAACATATAGGTTTCAAGTGTGGGTTTCTTATATTACAAGATCTGTATATTGCTCTGTGTGCCCACCACCCAAAGTCGTATCTTCTCCCATCACCATATACTAAGACCCTCTTCACCGCCCCCTCTGGCAACCACCACACTGCTGTTTGTGTCCACCAGTTTCAGTTTTATAACCCATATGAGTGAAATCATACGGTTCTTAGCTTTTTCGGACTGACTTATTTCACTTAGCATAATATTCTCCAGGTCCATTCATGTTGTTACGATGGCAGTACTTCATCTGTTCTCATGGCCAAGTAGTATTCCATCGTGTACATGTACCACAGCTTCTTTATCCAGTCCTCTATTACAGGACACTTAGGTTGTTTCCATGTCTTGGCCACCATGAATAATGCTGCAGTGAACATAGGGGTGCATATATCTTTGCAAATACAGGTTTTCAAGTTTTTTGGGTATATACCCATGAGAGGGATTCCTGGGTCGTATGGTAGCTCTATTCTTAATTTTTTGAGGAATCGCGATAGTGGCTGTGCCAGTCTACGTTCCCGCCAGCAGTGAATGAGGATTCCCTTTTCTCCACAACCTCTCTAACAGTTGTTACTGCTTGTCTAACTGATAATAGCCATTCTATCAAGTGTGAGGGTGGTGTCTCATCATTGTAGTTTTGATTTGCATTTTCCTAACTGCTAGTGACGTCAAACATTTTTTCATGTATCTACTGGCTGTTTGTATGTGTTCTTGGGAGAAGTGTCTGTTCAGGTCCTCTGCCCACTTTTTTATTGGGTTGTTTGTTTGTTTGGTGTTGAGTTTTATGAGTTCTTTATATATTTCGGAAACTAAACCTTTGTCAGAGGTACTGTTTGCAAATATCTCGCATCTAGTTGGCTGTCTGTTTTGTTGGCAGTTTCTTTTGCTGTGCAGCAGCTTTTTAGTTTGATATACTCCCATTCATTTATTTTTGCCTTTACTTCCCTTGCCTTTGGGGTCAAGTTCATAAAATGTTCTTTACGACCAAGGTCTGTAAGTTTGGTACCTACATTTTCTTCTATGTAATTTGTTGTTTCAGGTCTCACATTTAAGTCTTTGATCCATTTTGAGTTCATTTTTGTACATGGGGACAAACTGTAATCCAGTTTCACTCTTTTGCATGTGGCTTTCCAGTTTTCCCAGCACCATTTATTGAAGAGACTTTCTTTACTCCGTTGTGTGTTTCTGGCTCCTTTGTCAAAAATTATCTGCCCATATACATATGGTTTTATATCTGAGCTCTCTATTCTGTTCCACTGATCTGTGTGTCTGTCAATACCATGCTGTTTTGATTATTGTAGCTCTATAGTATAATTTGGAGTCAGGTAGTGTGGTATCTCCAGCTTCGTTCTTTTCTTCATGATTGCTTTGGCTATTCAGGGTCTTTTGTGGTTCCATACAAATCTGATGATTTCTCGTTCTATTTCTTTAAAAAAATGACATTGCTATGTTGATGGGGATTGCATTAAATCTGTATATTGCTTTGAGTAATATGGCCATTTTAACTATGGTGGTTCTTCCAATCCATGAACATGGGATATTTTCCCATTTTCTTGTGTCACATTACAATATTATTGAGTATATTCACTATGCTGTGCTTCACATCCCCGTGACTATTCTGTGACTACCAATTTGTATTTAAACCCTTCACCTTTCTCAGCTAGCCCCTCAATCCCCCACCCCTTCAGCAACCAACCAGTCTGATCTCCGTATCTATGAGTTCACCTCATACTACAGTTGAAGCACTGTGCATATATGATTAAATAACTGTTACTTAAGACATCAGAGTCAATTACATAAAAAGCAATACAAAAATATTAAAAATGTGAGTCTAACCTACAGCCATGAAAATATTCCAAAACTAGCATCCAAACATTTTCTGTGTATCATGATGCTACTACATCTTATGAACTCAAACAAATTTTCTAATTCATTAGGAAGAGTTATAGATGAGTATTATGGAGAGAATACATTTTTATTCATGTTAATGAAGTTTTAATAACTTATAGTTTAGTTTTGGGAATTGTGTATATATTTTCTGAAAGGGTTAATAACTAAGTCTTTATTTCTCTGGAAATTGCCGTGAATATTTAAAGATATAAGTAGTAAGAGAAATACAAATACATATTTTAAATAAAATAGTAAGTTAAAAATTAATTACTGATTAAATTAAACATGCTAAGATAATTATTGCAAGGTTTCTATGATCATACAACTAATATTACAAAAAGAAAACTTTTTTTTAATCCTCACCTGAGGATATTTTTCTCATTGCTTTTCAGAAAGAGTGGAAGGGAGAGAGGGAGAGAGAGAAAAACATCAATGTAAGAGAGACACGTTGACTGGCTGCCTCTCACACTTGCCACAGCTGGGTTGGGGTTAGGGATCAAGTCTGCAACCAAGATACGTGACCTTGGCTGGAATCGAACCCAGGACCCTCCAGTCCATGGGCTGACACTTTAGCCACTGAGCCAAACCAGCTAGGGCAAAATTGAAAACATTTTAAGAATCAATGATGGTATAAAAAATGAGGATGTTTAAAATTAGAAAACATCATATAAAACTACAAATCTTAGGAGACTAAGACTTAGTATACCTAGCTAAAAATAAGATATTTGTGCTTTTATGTGTCCCCTGAAAGACAAATGCAGATATAAAGACTTCAATACAAATGTGAATAAATAAACTCGTCTTTAGTAAATGTGTTGATCTATGCAGGTCTTATTTGAAGGGAAATAGTATTTATTACCTTAAAACACACACACACACACACACACACACACACACACACACACCTTTGTTCTAATTATAAGAAACTCTAAACTGAACTAGAAACCTCATATTCAAAGAAAGTTCAAAATACTTGGGAGAAAAAAAGATAATGTAAAAAGGCAAGGTTATATTATAGAAAAATAAATAAATAAATATGTCTCGAGATGCTTTTATCAACATGAAAACTGTTGGAATTACATAGAAATTAAAAAGTAATTGAAGCAATGAGATTACTAACCCATTTGTAACTCAGAGATGGTTTCCACCAGTGACCAGTCTAAACTGTAACCGCAGTGGGATTTGTCCATCAGGTTATCCAGCACTTGCCTCACTGTCTGTCTCTCATCCACCATCATTGTTTTAGAACTATCATCAGACATGTGGACTCTAATAACCAACTATAAAAGGCAAAAAGAAAATTAAATATAAACCAATAATCAGGCATTTTAGAAACTTCCTCCAATATTGAATAATGTTTCTCAGTAATGCCCTTAATTAAATATAAATTAAAATAAACTTAACTCTATTACGTTAAAAATGCTCTAAAATTAGGTATCAAATAACCTATCTAAACAAATTTAAAGCCTTCTTAAAATTATAAAAGGTAAGGTTATAAGATTATTTCGTTTTACTCTATTACATAACTTAAAACCAGGAAGTTATATCTTTTAAAATGCATTTTATCCACAAAAATACATGTGAAAAATATATTAGGAAGAAAAAACCTCTTAGAGACACATTATATAAACAAGGCAATTATTTATAAATCTGTAAAACTGATTAAAAAAAAAAATCCCAGACCAGGAAAAAGCCCAAATATCACCTTTTTCACTTGTGCCTCTTTAATTTTCTCTAGAGCAACTCTGATCTTCTCAGCTTTCAGTTTTGCTGCTTGTTCTTCCTGTGAACAAAAGCACTTCAGATAAACTAATGCTAAAATAATGAGAAGTTTTTAGAAGTCTTTTTATCCTTCAGGATGTTGCTCGCATTGAATTTCAGCAAGAATATAACTTGACACACTTATATAAAGTATACTTTAAAAATAACCCTGTTCACAAAGTGAGAGCTCACATATCATAAAGAAACTTTTTTTAAGATGCACACTTGAAGATCTCTTATAAGACTAGATTCCATATTCTAGAAAAAAAGAAATCTGTGATGGAATAAATTAATGAGTTTGATTCTGTCCATCTGAAGCAGATGCATTTTGGATTCTGGGGTGGGGGAAACATGAGTGTATATAGGTTATCTGTGGGCCTGCCCATTTGTTACACCTGCACAATCCCAGCTCTGAACTTATACTCCCCTCTAAAGCATGGGCAATCTTCTGCATGCTAATGTTCTGTTCTCTTGCACTGACAACGTATCATCATCATAAAAAGAGCAAAAAAAACCACACAAACCAAAACAAAACAAAACCCAGTATCAATTTATTTGCAACCATATATAACTCCTTAATAAAAAATGTACATTCTTATTAATATACCAATACAAATACAAGAGGCTGCGTTATATTATAGGTTTTACTCTGCTTTGGAAAACCAAACAATAAAATCAATGTCTCATGTCAATAATCTCAAATTTGTGTCCATTAATTCATTGATAATTTTTTTTAAAAGTCAAATATAATTTTCCAAATATTTAATTTCTAGTAACTTCTATTTTATAAAATGTAGATAAGTAGTAATAAAATTATCAAGAACTACAACTACCCTTAAACCATTTGTCTATTTTTTCCTAAGACAACATATAGTACTCTAATACAGGTACTTACTTGCACTTTCCAGCAATAGGCCATAGTACACTGTAGCATTAATCCCGAGTTGAAAAAAGTCATGTAAGTAAACCTTTGCTTATAAAGGGTTACTTTCTAATTCTAAACTTTGATTTCTCTGAAAAATAACTAAGAAAAATATAAACTGCCAGCTTGTAGATTCCTTTATTTAATATAAAACTTAAAAAGAAAAAAAACACATCACAAAAAACAAGAGAAAAGCCTAATCATATTAGCCAAACTTTATCAGCTGTGGATTCTGATTAAAAAAACCACAATCCATGTGATATTCTTCATTAAAAACCTAAAACTTTCAGGGCAAAAAAACCTCCCAAAACTCAATTCATTAACAGATTTATTCACTGTTCTAAATTCTGTTGGCTTTCCAGTTTCTGAACTGCTTCTCTTTCCACCTCACATTCTAGGCTGTCTCCCCTCATTTGGAGCTTAGTATTTACTTACTACTCTGCGGAACAGAGGAAAAAACAGTGGTTAGGGAAGACAGTGGGCTTGTTTGTCAGAAATCTGATCCTCGTCAATGAAAGGAGCCAGGGAATTAACATAATAACCGAGGTCTGGAAATACTATCTGTAAACCCAATTAGACAGAGAACAAAGAACTTTATTTTAACAATGGAGAGGAGTAAGATAAGACTTGATTCTTACACTATTATAGATATATTCATTTGATTAAAAGATTAGGCCATCCTATCCATCCTTTATGCAAATAAACAATAAAATAATTATAAATTATGTTGACTGTGTATTTTAACTTATATATTTTTTCTTTTTAAGACAGGTTATAAAATGAGAAAACTAAACTACTGTAAATTTAAATCTCAAAGTCTGATGAGGAAAAACGGGCATGTAGAATCAATGCTTTGTGTATTTGGACATAAACATGAACTTCTGCAAGGCCAAATTCTTTTATAATTAATATGCAGAAGTTAAAAAAAATTAATGTCCTCAAAGCCATAAAGCATTTTTAGGATAAAACATATTCAAGAGAATGAGAAGACAAGCTATAGACTAGGGAAAAATATTAATCAGACATATCTAATAAAGGACTACTATCTAAACTATAGAAATAATTCTTAAAACCAACAAGAAAATGAACAACCCATTTTAAAAATGGGCAAAACACCTTAACAGACAATTCACCAAAGAAGATACACAGATGGCAAATAAGACTATAAAAAAATGCTCAAAATCATGTCATTAGGGAACTGCAAATTAAAACGAGTTACCACTGCACACCTATGAGAACGGCCAGGCTTCAAAATACTGGAAACACCAAATGCTACTGAGGGTTGTAGGCAAATAGGAACTCTCATTCATTGCTGGTGGGAATGTAAAATGGTACAGTCACTTCAGAAGACAGTTTAGTGGTTTCTTATAAAACTAGGCATGCTCTTACGATGTGACCCAGCAATCCTCAATATCTACTCAAATGAGAAAACTTACTTCCACCCCAAAACCTACACACAGATGTTTATAGCAGCCTTATTTATAAAATGCCAAAAGTTGTAAGCAACCCAGATATCCTTCAGTAGGTGAATGGATAAACTGTACTGCATCCAGATAACGAAATGTTATTTAATGCTAAAAAGAAATGAGCTATCAAGACATGAAAAGACATGGAAGAAACTTAAAGGCATATTACTAAGTGAAAGAAGCCAATCTGGAAAGGCTATACATTATATGATTCTAACTATATGACATTCTGAAAAAGGCAAAACTATGAATAAACTAAAAAGATTAGCGGTTGTTGGGGGTCGGGGAGAGGGAGGGATGAACAGGTGGAGCACAAAGAATTTTTGTGGGAAATTATTCTAACAGTATGATACTATAATGGTGGATATATGTCACTATACATTTGTCCAAACTTGTAAAATGTACACCACCAAGGGTGAACCCTAATGTAAACTATGGACTCTGAGTGATAATGATGTATTAATATAGGTTCATCAATTTTAACAAATGTTCCACTCTGGTGGGGGATGATGATGATGGAGGCTATGCATGTGTGGGGGTAGGTGGTATATGAGAAATCTCTTTACCTTCCTCTTAGTTTTACTGTGAACATATAACTGTTCTAAAATACAAAGTCTATTCAAAAAAGGAATATAAGAATTTAAATATTATATCTGATATTGGTTAGAAATTTTATTATGAAAATTTATCTTCATAACTCCCACTTTAGTATATTATTTAGAACACAATTAGGGCTATCTTTTGAAGAAATGACATAAAAAGTAATTTAATTGTAAGATTAGCTTAAACTCCTAGATCAGTTTCTGCTCACCAGGCTAATAGGAAAAAAGCTGACACACTGGAAGAAAGGTTTAAAGAAACAAAAGACCCCAGTAAATCCATTAAAAAAAAAAAAAAAAAAAGAAAGGAAAGGAAAGAAATAAGAGATACAAAAAACCAATTAACATACATTAAACCAATGAGGTTTCCTAGTCGTTAATAAGAAGTAATTTTTAGGTAAAGCAGTGAGGTGGGGCTATTTTAACATCCAAATTCAGCTATTCTCCCATCTGCTTAAAAGACTACTCTTTACATAAATTGGTCTGTGTTAAAACTGCATCCAATTCAAATTTAAGAGCTATGTACTTAATTTTGACCTTTAGTTCTTTCTTCTCCAGTTTATTAACAAGGATATCCTTGCTAGGAGCTTTCTGAAGAAACAATTAATCAAGACACCTCTAACTTTCAGTTTGGAGCAAAAGTAGAAATAAAATGTTTATACCAAACTGCAAAATTCATAGTATTTTATTTTTCCTCAGAAAGTTTGGTTTTTATCTACTTTATTTAAGCCATAATTGTATCTTTTAACCAAAACAACCGAGGAAAGGAAGAGGCTATTATAAGCTTAGAGAGTATTGTGCAATATAGGAAAAGATCAATAAGTCTTTGCTAATGAATTTAGATTATATACTTGGAAGACATCTAAGAGTTGATTTATAAAGGCAATGCAAATCTGTTTAATGTCTGCAACCCAAGTTTAAAACAAAGAACAAAGCTTTATTCATCTCATGTTCTCTCTGTTAAAGCCAACAAACCCAGGTCTTAAGTCTTCTGCCCCTTATCTTTTGCCTATCCCTTTCTTAACGCTGTTTGTCCCATAACTATCCTAAATATACATAAAAGATACCTCACACATACAATAACTTTCTCTCCTACTCCTTCTCTTACAAGAGCAAGAGACAACCTATTTTCTACCTGAAAAACTCTTGTGTGGCTATCAATAATCATCAAATGCCAAGCCTCCTCAAATTTACATCAAGGACAAAAACTCGGTGAAGATCTTATGATTAAATGAAAGCCAATGCTGTGGCTACAAAGTGTTAGAGCATTGTCTTCAGTGTAAAAATCAGAATACTTACAGAAAGAGTTACAGTTGCTAAGAGACTGCTAGGGAATTCTTTCAACTAAGAAATTATTAAGGCTTTGTCAGTTCAGAACAAATCTGATTGATATTAAGGGGCTAAAGGGAAGTTAGGTTTCTTTGAGATTCAGTTTATTTCACAAATTACAATAAAAGTTATGTAAATTAAAAGAATTCAAAGAAAACTTGGAGCGATAAGCAGTTTAATACCCCATTTACAAAACTACTTAGAGCCAAAATAGTAATAGTAACAACTAGTTTACTTCCCTTAAAGAAATCATGAAATTGCCCTAACCAGGCAGCTCAGTCAAGAGCACTGTCCCGATATGCCAAGGTTTGAGGGTTTGATCCCTGGTAAGGGCACAATACAGGAATCAGCCAATGAGTGCATAAATAAGTGGGTCCACAAATTGATGTTTCTCTCTCTCTCCTTTCCTCTCTAAAATCAATTTTTTTAAAAAGAAAAAGAAACAAATCATGAAATTGATAAACTCTCAATGAGAAGAGAAATAACATTAACCGAACACGTTGAAACTTGTCACACACTAATTATCATGCTACACGTTAGTATCTAATTTCATTCTCAGGACTGCAAGGCCAATATTATTATTATCATTATTATTATATCCATTGTACTGATTAACTAAGGCCCAGAAAGACTAATCTTTCTAAGATTACATAGGCAGTTACCAAGTGACTGCTTGCTCTTTCCACTACAATGTGACAGTTCCTTTTGTCCTGAGGGTTATAACACAAACTTTTGGGACAGCAATAAATAAAAACCGCTTGTCAAAAATAAAAAATGTTCATCTATATAACAGCATTTTTACTTATTTGAAGCAAAGAAAATGGTGGTCAACATTACAGCAGTTCTTGAAACCCTGATGGTTACTGAAGAACCAATCCTTCATTTGACAGATGTTTGTTGAGACTGAGCTGGCTTGGGTTTGAGTGCAGGAGATACAGAGTTTCAGCTCTCTTTAAACTTATACTTAATGAGAGAGACAAAACAAGAGAACAGATGTGTGATAAGTCAGTCAGTGGTAAGTCTTATGAAAAAAAATAAAGCAGGATAAGAGTGATAAATACGTATTACCAGATCAGAAGGTAGGGAAGGCCTTTAGAATGGTATTCAGAGATATCAAGGTCATTGGATCAGCAATGCCCTTTGCCCACTGCTCTCACTTATGGCAAAATAATCCTGTGCTGGCACTAATGCCACTCCTCAAAGAAACTGTTTGACACTGTTTTTGCAGAGGCTCCCGGCTCAGAACTCCATGTGGGATAGTTATTTCATTAACAGTAGTATAGTTTCAACTGTACTGTTGAAAACAAAACAAAACAAAACAAAACAAACTCACTCTTTTTGCTGCCCTGGCCTAACTACAGTGCTGCTGTGTTCATTCTACTGTGTACTAACCACTGGGTATTACAATGGCCTAGTCTGGAAGAGAGCAGATCAGAGCTGTGTCAGTAACTCGGGCACATGCTCTTTGGGTAGGGAGAACCAGACTACCACACAGGAGATATCCAAGAGGTACAAACTCATTTTAGCTTCATAACAGCCAGATGCTCTGGTGCAGAGGGCACTGACACTGAGAGGCCCCTGTGGCTCAGATTATCCAGAAGCTCTGCCACTTCATCCTTGACTCCATTCCCCATTCCACCCTAAATGTTTGGCTCTCTGCTACAGAATCACATTCCTGCTCAAATTGATTATTGTATGTAAGCAGGATGTTGACTATATACACTAGTAATACCACCACTTGGGTAACGGGAGAAGATATGATCTGAGTAAGGAATGGCTCTGACACTGCAGTTGGCATCTCCATCTCTTGGGCAGAGGGAGATAAGAAGTTAACAACTGCATTTATCCAAAACTTGCAAAGAACAACTCTCCCTGCGGTAGAAACTGTTTTATTCACTGGCATACTGTGTTGTAAATGCTGTATGGCACATAGTAAATATTTGTTGAATGAAGTTATTCTCTTCAACAGTTTCCCATTGCATTTGGGGGGGGGAAAATTAAACTCCTTAACATGCCTTGAATGCCTTGGTTCCTGCCTAGCTCTCCAAATCCAAATCAAGACACTCATTTCTTCTTTCAACTATTGTGGCTCCAGAAACAGTCATAATCTCAGCTTTTCAAACATGTCAACTCCTGTTCTCCCTGGGACTATCCACATGAACCACTTCCCTTTACCCTCAAGATGGCTTTTTATCCTTCAAGCTTTAGAGTAAATATGTCACCCCCTTAGAAGGGCCTTTTCTGATTTTACCATGTAAAGGGAATGTAGCCTTCCTTCATAGCACTTAACGTGATTTAGAATTTGCCTACATGCTTGCTTGTTGATAGTTTTTGAATCTATCATGACTGTGAGCTCCTGGGGGCGGTGGGGGATATCTGGCAATTTTATACAATGTTATAGCTAGCACAGCACATGACTCAACAAATATTTGTTGAATAAATAAGCAATGGAAATGGTTAAATGTTGCACTTAATCTGTGAGCAGTGTACAAAATGGACAGGACAGTCAAGAATAAAGAGACAAGTGTAGTGGTTCTGGTAAGAGATTAAGAGCTGGTTTTAGGGTGGTGACAAAGGGAATTAAGTGGGTGGGTGAACTCAGTAAATCCTGAAGATCACCGTGAGCTTCACCAGAACTTTGAGGTCATAAGTGAAAAGAAGAAAGACACCAAGAATCATAGAGGGGTCAAACCTGGGCAACTGGGAGAATGGCAGCATTCTGAATAAAATTGTGAGCCCCCAGGCTAAGGAAGCTAAAGACCTGCAGGATTGGTACTGGTAATCTTCCAGGAAATGCCTGATGGCAATCTGGAAATTTGTTGCTCTCAGGTAGAGAGATGTGATCTAGAACAGAGTTGCTAGTTGAAGCTATGAGTGTAAATTCCAGGTAGAGAGACAGTAAACAGAGAAGAGCTGAGGAAAAGGAAAGAACGTTGCTATGGTTATAAAGTACATGTCTATTACCTGCTTAGACTTCTATATTCCCTGATCTTTAAGCTCCTAACTCATTCCTAGATCTACTTTAAAGAGAGAAACTCAAGCAGAGAAAGAGTTTCACTGCTGAATCTTGGGTCTTCTCTGATCGCTTATGGAGATTTTAATTTTAGCTTTATCATTTTCTTTTACAAGTTTATAAGGTTAAAAAGAAATAAACTTTAAAAATATCCCTCTGATACAATAACAACTTAGAGACATTACCTATAATTACTGTGTATGTTCTTCAGAAGCCAAGTCTGGCATTCTTGAATTTAACATTATTTAAATAAGATAATGAAATAAAAACATGATTTGAAAAGAGGTAGAAGGCTATTCAGTCAGCTTCCTTATTCTGTTACCCTTCGTTAATGATGACAATGGCTAAAAGATCTAAAACTGATGTAAAATACCAGCCCAATGAAAGCCTAGCTGGACCGATTCTAACCATTCTGAAAGTGAAGAACTGAGAGATTAAAACTCAACATTCTCTTCCAACTGGAGGAAGCTGATGTAAAGTAAGATTCTTTTTATATAAACAAGGGTTTTAATTAAGTGAGGTGCTGATAATATAAACAAGAATTAGAAAACAAAGTCTGCTAAAAAACAACTCACAGCATGGATAACCACTAGTAGTAAAAGTTAAAATCAAAGCAATGATTTTTAGACTTTAAAGTGAAATACAATGTTAAGCTAGAAAAGTACAACATACTTGGGAAGACTGTTATTTACAAAAGTTTAAAACTAGTGAAAACTTACTGAAAATATTTTCTAAATATTTTGAGAGTCATTAAAGTCAGTAAGTAATTATACCTTGAGTAAAAGAAAAAATTCCTCTATTCAGCACAAAGGTGCTGAAATAAGAAAGCACAATCTGAGAAATCTGAGCGCACAATCAAAACCAGAAATTATATTCTACCTACAAGGCAATAAATATTTACATACAGGTGGAAAGAAGAAGTATCACCTTGGTCAGCAAATGAGAAGGTTTTCCTGCAATGTTTCTCAGAAGAAGGGAGGTTTCCCTGTCCAGATAGGAGTGCTTGTGCAGAAAGAGAGAGAGAGAAAAAAAAAGGCAACAGAAGTCAGTGGAGGTTTTATGTGTTTAAAATATAAAGTAGACAAAGCAAGAATGATCTCTATTATTAATTTCCTATCTTTTCCCTAAACTCAGTGAAATATGTCCAAAAGAAAATTTTTAAAAAGGGCAGGAAAAAGATAAAAAAGAAAAGGAGGGGCACGCAAAGATCCATGGATGCCAGTAGCTGTGTCCTAACCAACTCTTGCTGATCCTTCACTGTGGGAAATGGACCATACGCTGCAAAGATCGCAGAGCCAGTGTGTTTTCCAGGGCAGTGTTTGTGAGTGCTGTGCACACAGCACAAATACAAATAGGTGTTGAAAACCAATGACAAATATATTCCTTCCTCATGTAAAGCCTACATAAGATCTATACAGCTTTAATTAGTATATTCTTATGAAAAGAGAACAAGACTACATCATTTCTAAAACTTCTGCAAGTATTTCTGATAATTCAGTGATAGTCACACCAAGAGGAAAAATGTCCATAAATATTCTGCCTAATAAATATCACCTATTTTCAGTAAAATTTTATTAATTCATTATATTAGAATACTAATAGGATTGTGTTACACAGTACAGAATTCGCATAGCAAATGAATATAAATAAAATATTAAGAAGTGTTATCTTAAATTGGTTATATGAATTCAAGCAATTAAGATATTTTCATTAAAATTATTGTGAATAACATAGAAACTAACTACACTTTTCCACCTTAATAACTTTTTAGTAACATGTTGCAAGGTAAGTTTATGCAACTGTATTTAAACTCATGTAGTATACATTACAGCTGTTTTGATATATATGCAATTCATACTTGCCTGTCCCTAAATAATTCCAAATTAGTTTTAATGCTGTGTAGTTACTAACCAGCATTTAAAACAATACATGGCACAGCTAAGTGGAATTATAGAAAACATTCTATAGTGTTATATTTTATAAACCTAACTGTATATCAAGCTATTCTTGAGAAACAAATTCTTTTAATTTATGTAAACAAATACCAGAGCAGCAGCTACTCTCATAAAGTTCTTTGTCACAAATAATAAAATACACTACTTCAAGATTAGAAATAGTTCCCCAGTTAGCTTTGTTTTAATTCAAGATGAACCTTATAAGCACACTTGTCCCTTTCACCCACTCCTGAAAATAAAAAAATAAAAAACAACAAAGAAGGAAACCTAAGGTTAAAATATATTGGATATATTAATCAAGATTAGCACTAACAAGGTCAGACAACAAGAACAGAGACAATTATCCCTAGGTTATCATTTACTTACACAGTATAATTCTCCTGAAGATAAAGATAAGTTGGTTCATCCATAAAGACACTAGGTAAGCAGAAATTTCTAAAAATTCAATTTAATTTGAGGTTAACAATTGGGAAAGACAGAGGCGAAAATTGGGAATGTCAATTAAAAAGAGCAAATATAACTTATTGCTCTTACTCTCATTTTTTGCTACTCACATGTAATGGGAAAAAAATGTATTCTTATACAATTATGTAAAACATATAGAAGATAACTTATTGAAAACCTTCTATTTATCTTACTCATAAAGGATACTTTCTCAGAAAAAGATTCCCAAAATGAGTAGAACATCAATATTTAGATAATTGTATTTCAAATTTAAGAAGTAAATCTGCTTCAGCCTATTAAAACAAATTATTATTTGGTAAATATAATTCCAGATCTTAAATTCAAGTTTAAACTTAAAAAAGAAAAAATCTATACTCTGATCAGTAAGACTAATATTTAACTATTTGAAGACTCTAAAGTAGAAGTTAGCCATTTAAAAATTTTACAAGTTTATGACTAGCCGGGTGTGGCTCAGCGGTTGAGCATCGACCCAGGATCCAGGAGATCGAGGTTGGATTCCCAGTCAGGGCACATGCCTGGGTTGCGGGCTCAATCCCCAGTTGGGGGTGTGCAGGAGGCAGCCAATCAAAGAGGACTCTCTCATCATTGATGTTTCTATCTCTCTCTCTCCCTCTCCATTCCGCTCCCTGAAATCAATAAAGATATATTTAAAAAGTAATAAAAATAAATAAATAAAAATTTTACAAGTTTAAGTAGCTTAAACTTGTAAGGGATAATTAATTATAGTTGGTGACTCCAAAATATGCCACATCCAAAAAATGAGACCACAAGCAATAGGTGGACATGATTGTAAATTACTTTGAGTTTGGGACAGTCATATATAGCTATTCACTGCTTAATCACTAGCAGGGAGGGAGGCCAGGTCTCCATGTTCCCTCTGTCTAAGTTTCAAGTATTTGTAGCAGAACTCCCTGCTCTCCCCCCCCTCAAAAATCTAGAAATCAGAAGCCATAAATTCCTCCCTTCAATAAATGCCTTATCTACCTTCCCCTACTGGTGCCAGTCCTACATTGCTCTAGAATTCCTTAGAAAGGGGGTGCAGGGTGGCAGGAGAATGGTTACTGGAGACAGATGCAAGAGGGATAAGAAGAGTGGTGTGCAACTGGAGGACTGAGAAAAGTAAAAGACACTGGTTTGGGCACATCACTCAATCAGCCTTCAGTCCTGGTATATGTTACTGGTAACAAAAATGCATAGAGCTTCATTTAAATGAGACCTTTTTATGTTTTCCTTCATTTACCACTAACAACACAAAGTCAGTGGCTTATTCTTAATCCATTTCACTGGTTTATTAGCCCATTTTCTTACTCTCTTCCATTTTCCCCTTTCATTTATTCAACTATTTTAGGTTTCAACTTTGAGCCTGTAACCATGCCAGGCACTGGAGGATGCAAGGTGACCAAGACAGGCATTTCTTGCTCTCACAAAGTTTAGAGTCTAATAGGGAGAGAACTGACACCTACAATACACTGTGTTAAGTGGTATGGGAGTAAGTAGGAGATGGGATATCTAACCCCAAAGTAGGTGCTCAGTAAAGTATTTCTGAAAAAGCTTAGAGTCCTGGAGGGTGAGTAAGAGGCAGCTGGGGGTGGGGTGGGGAGTAGAGGCAGAGATTAGAGATACAGAGGTTCTCAATGGGGATGGTGCTGCCCTCAGTGCTGCCACAATGAAGAGGAGGGGGCTGTTATTGGTATTTATTGGAAGGGAAGTCAGAAATACTAGATGTTCTGTAAACATGGAACAATTACACATGATAACAAAAGTCCCACACCACATATAAATTTTTAATGTCCTTATATGAAAATCATACAGATGGCTAATCCTCCTTATAGAAATCTAAGCTTAGAACCTAATTTCATCTTACCTATAAACACAAAGTATTTATGTATAATTTTAATATTCAGTGAATCTTCCAGGAATGCTATTTGTTATAGTCAAATAAGTCAAGGGAAGCCAGCACTTTCTTTTCTTCAGAATTTACCAAGAGTTATTTGTTATGTTAGAAAATCATTTCAGCAATGGAAATGGAAACCTAGCTCGAAGTAAGACTTGCCAATACCAAAACTGGCAGTATCAGATTTCACTGTCATATGTAAGTAAATGACAGGAGAGATCTGAAATTCCTTTTGACAGCACTAATAACTAATTACTAGTATATTAATAAAAAGAAAGGAATGCAACCGAGGTACATGCCCTTGGCTGGAATCGAACTCGAGACCCTTCAGTCCATGGGCTAACGCTCTAACCACTGAGCCAAACAGGTTATAGTGAGCTTGGTTTAATTTTTAATTCAAAAATTGAGGTATATGACAAGGTTTCATCATCAGAAGGTATAAAGAATGCATTCCTCTTCATTGATATTTAAGCAGTCCCATGGACATGTTTACAGAACTTACAGGTGTGAGCTCAGCCTGTTCTTCTGTGAAGTCAATATGACGCTTGGCCTGCTTGCTGGGACATCTCAGAGAAATAGCATGCTGTGAAAATGCAGGAAGGAAGAAATGAAAGGTAAAGGAGGTGGAAAAGGGCAGTGCTCATTGTCATGCAGGAAGAGAAAAGATCACTGAAATGAATAGTTGAAACAAAATGGTAATGCAAAGTTGCATGCACCTTTCATTATATTATGCAAAAATAAAAAAAGTCAGAACCAGATGATCCTAACCTTTGATAATTTAAGGATAACCTACTCTACTTCTGGACAGTAGAGCCCTATGGGAGAATTATGCAGAAACACTGTATCCATACCAATTCATGCTATGAACCTCAACTAGGCCTTGGCTGCTGTTTCACAGCACTCCGTCTTTCCTCCTCACTCACTCTAAGCTCGTTCTAAGCAGTTTCCAAGTTCTTCAAGCTTCTAATTTCATCCTTCCACCTCTTCACATGACCTCACTTCCCTCCATTACTAAGCAAATCACATCCATCTATCGTAGGGATCTTCATTGCTGAAATGTACCCTATAACTACACCCATATTCTCATCCTCTCTCCAGTTCTATATAAATAAATACGCCCCTCCCCCAAGCTAATCATGCCCTAGATCTCATTCATTCCCCCTCGAATCCCAGGGGCTGATACTCAACTAGTCCAGTTTACTGGTGGCAGGAAGGACAGGAAAATAATCAAATCTCCTGGGTACCCTCCTCTTCTTAAACTATTATTTTCTCCCTTTCACTGCCAATTTCCTGAACTTAGCCATCGTGTACCAACTCCACCTACTCCTCAATTCCCTACCATCTGGCACACATCTTTAGCCTTTGAGTTTAATGCATTCTGTAATTCATTCTCAAGATCATCAATGACCTTTTAACCAAGGTTTTCTGTCTTTCCTATCATAGTACTCACCACACTGACTGAAAATGCTTGTTTGGTTGTCTGTATTGACACCCATCTCCTCATACAATAAATTATAACCTCATAAAGACACTGTATATTATGTTCACAGTTTTATCTCTTACAGCCCAGTGTAGTGCCTAGGCGCTCAACTATTTATGGAATGTATGAATGATTATTGATTTTTGGTCTTCATGTCACATGCTTGGCCAGATCAAGACTTCCTGCTTTCTTCCCTCCACATTTTCTCATCTAACATATTCTATACCACAGTGTCAACCACTACATCAATGGGAGGCCTATCAAATCTATATTGCCAATATCCTCACTCTTAGGGAACAAGGACTGATGTATTAAGGGCTAAGGGACATGATAAATGCAATGAACTCTCAAATGGTTCAGAGAAAAAATGTACATGAAAACAACAACAAAGGAAATGTGGCAAAATGTGAAAAATTAGTGAATCTGAGCAATGAGTTTCCTGAGTTCTTTGTACTATTCTTTCACATTTTTGTAAGTTTGACATTATTTCAAAATAAAAAGTTTTTAAAAATCAATTCTCTCTAGATTCTCACATAGGCTCACATATTTCCAAACGCTTACTGGTTAATTTATTTTAAAATCTAAATCTGAAGTGTTCAAAAGAGATGACTGCCTAAGTAGCATGTTAAACTATATGATGGAACATTAGTGTTATTAAAATTCAATACATCCTTATCAAAAGTGAATGTATGTATGCAAAGTGACCAAAAAAAAATAGCAAATAGGACACACGCAAACAAAGATGAAATGTTGTTACATTAACAAAGATGGAAAGGAATTAGGTAATGATATAAACTATTTAATGTTAATTAGGGTCCATTTCCACAAAATATTTACTTTCCTACAAAAACAATGATCTCCCCCAATCTAATTTTTACCTACTTTTTATCACTCTTTAAATCTAAAAGCTGTGCTCAAAACACACAATAAAAATGAAATTTGAGGATCAATTCTTCACATAAATTTTGCTCTAAACAATCTCTGTCCCATAACTTCCATTTGTTATAAAACTATCAAATTCTCCATCAGTCTCTTAAAAACTCTCCACAAATCTCTGCAAAGTAAGTACGGATCACTACTTTTTTGAACTGAATCTGTAACATGTTCAAATTAAGTACCATTTATGAGCTAGAACCTTGGGCGGGGTGGGGAGGGGGTTGTATATAGAAAAGCATTGATCTAAACGTAGGAGCCAAACCATTTAATCAAGACATGGCCTTGTACCAAAGTTGTGGTTACAAAATGAAACACTTCCTTTCGATAGCTAACACCTTAGATTACAACTGGAAGAAAGAAGTGGAGGTTTGTGAACACACATTAGTGTTTCAATAAAGCATATTTACATTCCTCTTATTGATATGTATGAGCTTTTCACAAATATTAAACAAACAAACAAACAAACAAACAAAAACATAGCATGATGGTTATGAATGTAGACCTGGGGCTGGATGGAGTGCTTCAGTTCAAGCCCCAGATCAGCTATTTACTGTCAGTGTGACTCTGAGCTTATTACTTAACCTGTTTCCTCATGTGTAAAATAGGGGTAGTAATAACATTTATCTCCAAAACTTGCTAGAAAGAGAAATCTATTAGAATTAGAATTCAGCTCTCATCTAAATTTTATTTAAGCCTCAATTCATTTAAATTAGAGATAGTTGTTAAATTTTAACTATATTCAGGAATATACTAACCACCACCACAAGATGGGGATGTTACCGCAGGATTCTTTTTGCCTTTTTTTCTCCCACCCATACAACTTCTGTCTCTAAGGCCTGGATCTGAGCGAGGGCCAGCCTAGCCTTGTCTTTGATGCAGTATGAGCTCTATAACCAGAATGTCTGGGTTCAGATCCTTGGGAAAGTTATTTAGTTACTCTCTGCCTTTAGTGATTCCAAATTTAGAGGAATTACTAAAGTTTAAATCCCATCAGAAAATAAATATAAAGGTATATTTTAGCATTAACCTTTTCAGTAAACCCTATTTTATATAAAATTTATAACATGCGATTGCCATTTAAATTAGCAAACTGCTGTCTTACTGTGAAGTATTGTCTTAATCAGTTAATGTTATTAAAAATACCACAAAGATGACAGAAAACCAGCTGCAACATTTGTTTCACATTGGTTAAGATTTAAAGAGCCCTTATTAGAATTTATTTCAAGTACAATGAACTCCAATTTCAAAAAATTAGCAAATGAATATTACTGATGGTTTCATAAGAATACTGACTGAAATTATTCTATAATTAATTTTAATGTTTATCCATGAAAACTATTTTTATGCTTAAACATTCTTTAACATTCTGGAAATAATCATTTTTAACAATCAGCTTCACTTTATTTTTAAGATATTGATAAAAATCGGAAGGCAAATGTTTAGTTTTGAAATTCAAATACAGATTTCTCAGTTATTTGACCTACTTACTCTCTTCTTTGGAATAATGCCCCTACTAAAGGGACAATGGGAGGCTTAAATGAGATAACATATGTGAAGTGCCTGGAAGCACATTATTTCAACAAGAGTCAAGAAAGTGAGAAAAGACATACTCTTCCTGATGTGAAATGGTACTGTGCCTATCCCTGATGGCTTTCAGAGACCAAAGAGGCAGAAAGATAAGCCACAGTATTATTTTACTTTTAGATGGGCAGTTTAACTACCCACGTCCCCAAGATGAGAAATAAAACCAATTTCAAACTGATTTTTCTGACCGGTATTTGTGTCACTAAACTTCAGCTGAAAATAACTATTCTGTCTTGGCTTTCCTTAAAACAGTTAGGTATAATTACTGCCTCCAAAGAACCTAGTTGTAAAAGACAAGTTTCACTCTTCAGTGTTTTCACATGTTACTTCACTTGTGGCACTCCATCTACCATTTTGAAAGAAAATAATTGCTGATAATTTTAGCATGCAGACTTTTAGACAAAATGGATTGAATGCATATTTGTTCATTCAAATATCTGAGTGTTTCTTATGAGCCAAATAATGTTCTAGGCACTAAGAACATATCAGGAATAATAAATTTTTTAAACTCCTCTCATTATGGAGCTTATATTCAAGTGGGAGGAGACAGACAAATACAATTTAAAAAGTAAAATATATATGTTAAATGTTGATAAAATAAAAGAGAAATATATAGGAGAGAAGAGAGATAAAAAGTAATCACAAGGCAGAAGAAGAGGAGTTCAATTTCAAAACGGAGTGATCAGCCCGGCTGCCCTGGCTCAGAGGTTGAGCATCAACCTAGTATCCAGGAGATCGAGGTTCTATTCCCAGTCAGGGCACATGCCTGGGTTGTGGGCTCCATCCCCAGTGGGGGGCATGCAGGAGGCAGCCTATCAATGATTCTCTTATCATTGATGTTTCTATCTTAGTCTCCCTCTCCTTTCCTCTTCCTGAAATCAATAAACACTTATTTAAAAAAACAAAAAAACTGAGTGATCAAAGAAAGTAAAATCCGAGCAAATCATTGAAGAAGTCTGTCATGGGAAGGATGTTCAAGCAGAGGACAAGTGAAAGGCTCTGAGGTAGGTTCTGACTTCAGGCAAAGAACAATTAGGAGGCAGTTATGGCTGGCAGAGTACGGAAGGGAGAGAAGAAAGGAAAACGGGCAGAAGTAACAGGGAAGCAGATCCGGTAAGGCGTTGTACACTGCTGTAGGGATTTTGGTTTTATACTGACAAATATAAAGCAAAGATCTGATTTACCTTTTTTTTGGTATCTTTGATTAAAATTAAGTGATTAATATAAAATCAGGTACAACACACTTGTATATGTCAACCAAATTAAAATGTGTAAAGGAAATTTTTGGCATCACAGTTATGTGCTTAATGTTTACTCTACATCATGAAACCTGAATCCCACCACTTGCTATTTACCTTTAACAGGACTACTCTGGCTACCAGTGGGGATGATAGACTGTTAAGGGGAAGGTGAACATAGGAAGACCAGTGGGAAGCTTTTGTAAAAATCTCTATCAAAATGATGTTGGCTTGGTGGCAGTGGAGGTGGTTAGAAACGATCAAATTCTGGACAACTTTTCAAGGTAAAGGCAAAAGAACCTGCTGCTGGATTGAAAGGGGGCTAAAAAGAAAAATGGAAATAGATAAGAAACCAAAGATTTTGCTTGATGAACTGGAAGAATGAAATAGCCATTGAACGAGATGGAGAAGACTGTGGAAGGAGTAAGTTTGAGAGAAAAGATCAGAGCCTCAGTTATAGACTAGTTAAATTTGAGCCACCTTTTAGACTCAAATAGAGATAAATATAGATTAGAGATAAGATGTATGAGCCTGGAGTTCAAGGGACACGCTGGCTAAAGATCCTGTAGTATTTCATTGAGTCTAAGATGATTTAATGTTGGTATTTGCTTGATTTTGATCAGAAATTGTCAACAGAAGGCTTCACACAACATAGAATTGCCACTTTGCTGGTAGTGAGTGATAGATGCCACCTGATTTTAGAACATGGTTTCTCAACCTTGGAACTATTTTGGGTCAGGTAATTCTTTGTTGTGGGAGCTGTCATGTGCACTGTAGGATTTTAGCAGCATCCTTGGCGTCTACCCATTATATGCCAGTAGCACCCTTATATCACTGACAAACAAAAATGTCTCCAAATGTCACTGAATGTCCCCTAGGGGACAAAATAGCTCCCAGTGGTGTGAGGGGGGAGGGCAGGAGTGTGTTTTAAATAAAATAGGATACTGAGATTTAGGAGTTGTCAGTGGATAAGATCATAAAAGGAGTAGCTATAGATAGAAAGGTAATCTGAGAACTGCACCATGAGCATTCCAGGTCTAGAAACTGAGGATATGAGGAAATGGTGAGTGGACAATGAGGTAGTGCTATCCCTCCTCAACTCCCACTAAAAAAGACTAAAATGAAGGGTTTTGTTGCATGGCTTGTTTGCTTGTTTGTTTTTAAGACAAACTCACAAAAAGGCATGACAATTTTGGAAGCTAGAAAGCATGTGGCTGAGTGGTAACCAATTCAGCAGGCCTAAAAAAAGCTGAATGCTAAGCCAATGCTGGAGAAAAGCAGAGGAGCATCCCAATTTACATTATGTAACCTCAAAGTCTCCAGAAGTAGCAGAAGTGAAAGTGGCACTAAAAGCAGGAGGATTGGTTGAAAGCATATTTAAGAATGCAGTTAATTCTCAGATTCTCGCCTTTATTCACCAACTAGCAGCAGTTTCAGGTTCAGATTGATATTCACTGCTGGGACCCAATAGAACATAGCTTGGCACCAAGTTCACTTAATTCTACAGAAAGACAAAGACAGCACATTAACATGAGACATACTATCTTCAGAGGATATCTATACAGCCCACCAGAGGTCTTTCTCAGACCAACCACTGTCAAGAGAAAGAGATCACGTTGGATAAGTACAGAAATCACCTGGCTAGAAAAACTTCCTGCTCTACAGGAACCAGTAGTACATTAAAACAACTAATAAGTGTAGGTTCCAGGGCCCCTCAAGAGATGTGCTCATGCTAACTTACAAGAGCCACATACTGCACACCAGAAAGACAAGGTCTGTGTCTTTTAAAGTTCACTCACTGTCTTCCTGATCCATATGAACTCACCCATCAGGGATCAATTTACAATAACTATGCTTGAAAACATTCTACATTTTATTAAGTTTCTAGTAAATGAATTCCAGGGGAAGGAAAGCCTAGTCATTTCCCATGAATAAAAGGGCGCAGACCTGCCATTAACTCTGAACTTAAAGCAGTCAGTCTCAAATGGAGGCAATTTTGCCTTACAGGGAACATGTAGTAATACGTGCAAACAGATCTAGATTTCATAACTGGAGGGTGTGTGTTGTACTACTGGCACCGAGTAGGTAGATGACAGGGATGCTGCTAAACATCCTTATGATACACAGGAGAGCTCCCACAACAAAGAATTATCTAGCTCTAAATGTCAATAAACTGATGGATGAGAAACCCTGACCTAGGATTAAGTGGAAGATCACATACTGAACATTGAGGACCACCCCATATCTCAAGCCTTCTTTCCCAAATGGGCTGCTAAAGCACTGGCAGACAGGCATGCGCCTGCCAGGCAGGGGACTGGAAGAATCTGCTTTGGAGAAGCTTGCCCATCTGAGAGAAAAGACCTAAGAATGATCCTAGAGTAAAGACTTCAAAAGACAAAAACATTTTAAGATGAAATTAATAGAACACTAATTTTGTTTAAAATAAGCAAGAGATTTAATTAACTGAGGGAAAGTTTGGAGTTGAAATAGTGATAAACTTACCAAAAAAATTTATTTTACTATCTAAAGACAATGATTAATTCCAGGAAAAGCAAAATGTAATGTCCCAGAAAGGAAATCTAATAAAAGTATACAGAGTTTAGCAGTAAAATTGCAAGTATATAGAAATAATATAAACACTGAACAGCAGCAACCCAACCAAAATATATTGGAAAGATGGGGTAACAAGAGGGGAGAAGTGGGGGGAGATGTTTAAAGAACACTAGCTCTTAATCTTCAAGAGTGGTAAGTCAGTAGATAATATGCGCGACTGAAAAAAAAAGTCAAGAAATAGTGATGTAAGTATAGATTTAATGATATGGGGGTAAATACCCTAAGAATCAGCTAAAAGGGCAGAAAGTGCTTATCTCTGGATTGACATTTTGTGTGTGTGTGTGTGTATGTAACCCAAAACACAGCAGTGTTTTGGGTAACAAGTCTTTCAGAACCATTTGACTCTTTAAGCTCCATGCATGCAAACCTAATGTTTTTTAAAAACTGTATATGAGTGTGGAAATAATTTGATATATGTGCTTGGGACCTACTAAGACTCCCTCCGTTTTCTTGATTTAAATCAGAACAAACTATATCCAGAAAAAAGTATATTAAAGCAAGTTCCAGTTAAACCACTTTTCTATCCATCTGGGAGAGGCAAAAGAACAGGCTGAACAGAGAGCTTAACTCCTTTCCTTACTTTATTCCTGATTTACTCACCAAACTTTATGTTAAAGCTTCATGTTAAACATAATACCACTGAACATTGATATCCTTGCCCATGGATAGCACTGGATGCCATCTGAAGTGTTTGCTGGAAGAAGACTTTTTACTTCACTTGTTCTTTTACTGTTTGAACTTTTATAACGAGAGTATGTTACAGATGGAAACACACACACAGATCCTGAATGATTAACCCGTTCCCATGCATTTTGACCTAATTAAAAATAACCTGATTGAAAAGAAGGAACATCAACATACAAAACACAGAAAAACCAAGAAAGCACATCCCTAATAAAATATTGCTCATATCCCAACAAGTAAATCTAGAAAACATAAATGACGCATACAAGTAGCTGGTGCTAAGAGTAATCCCCAGGTATCATGGGGTAGAAATCAGTTTAAAGTTCTCTATAGAATATATATCACTCTGATAAATTTCATTTTAAATAAATAAAAGTTTATTCTTTAGACTGATGTATTTCCTTAGAAGCAATAAAACTTGTTGAACTCCAAACTCTCATGATTTATGCTTCCCTTGTGCTCCCCATTACCTAGAACAAAGCTAGGTAAATGGGTAGGTAGCAGGAGTTACTGAATGATGAAAAGTAATCTAATAAATTAAATCAATGAGGGGGAATCAATAATGTCAATAGGTATAAATTTTAAATTTCTGTGCAATTCCTTAAACAATGTTTTATAAGATTTATCTTTTGGTTATTCATGAACAGATTGTTTTACCCTGTATTAGAGGGCATTGTAAATACAAAGTGAATGGAAGGTTGGTTTTATTTCCTATAACAAAACTGCCTTCTTCCTGAAAAAAACTCAATAAGGAATTCACCTTCACTAAAGTCAGCTGTTTCTAAACTTACTTGATCACAAATCCATTCCTTACCATCATCCCATCACATCCAGAAAAATTTCATCTTGAAAAATCTGTTCATGTATATCCTTTTGACTCTCTGAACTACCATACGAGGAAGACAGATCATGTACTACATTAGCTCCCTCTTACTTATGAGAAATTAATGTTCACAAATGTAGAATAAACTCATTTAGGTCCTATGCGTAGTGAATGGCAAAGAAAACACCTGGAAGCAAGTTTTCTGATTCCAAGACCAGTGGCTTTTTCCACTGCACCACACTGACTCTTTGATAATAAAATGAAGTAAACCCTAAAAACTAGAATCTTAGAGGACTACAATGGGAATATGAGTCTTAAGAAATTTCTTAAGTTGTTATTTTACGGTAAATATACATTAAGCAATTATCAGTTTATTAGCCATACAAACTTTGCAAAATGTCAAAATAAACCACATTTCAAGTATTTTATTAATGTGAAACAACTAACATTAATTCGAAGAATTCCAATAGTCGCAAGAATAAAAGAGAAGAAATTAAATCTCTTCTTAATCATCTTGTGACACTGCCAGAGCTGGTAATATACTACTTTTGTAGTGATTTTAAAACTTAGCTCAGAGGTATCCTTCACCAATTTTAAATGCAGAAAAAATAAGAAAGTTATTTAAAACTACATTTAAAAAATATGGTTTCCTATTTTAATACTAAAATATCAGAAAAAAAAAGTTCCATCTACCTACCTCAGTAATTGGCTGCCCCTGATGTGTCAAATCCAGTTCTTGAGGGCGTGTTACTTTATCAATATCCAAAGAGTCCATGCTGGAAGCTGCAGAAGTGATGCTGGAGCGGGAGGAGTTACTAATGGAGCGTACTTCAGCATCACTCACTGTGCCCGCTGATGCTGTTCTTCTGTGCTGATTAGTTACTAAGGGCTTAGCATCTTCTAGCACAGACTGCTGGGCAGCCTCATCCATACTCAAGGATGCCTGTTCCAACTGTGCAGTAATATCATCCAGGGAGTAGTTGGCATGTGACGGTTTATTTATCCTATTAGATGAAGAAGACAATCCTTTCAAGGTGCCATGTTTTGATGTATGTCGGCTAGGAGGTAATTTCTGAGTGGCTTTTGTTTCTGTGATTTGACGCTTACTGTTTCCTGCACCAATACTGCTCAGCTCCCGCTCTATTGAGCAAAGATCAGCCATTAGGGCATCCAGATCCACAGTTTCTCCCTGATTCAGAGCTTCTGCAATGAACAACAATACATGATGTTTCCAGAACAATTGGAATCAGAATGTATACATTCTATTATAAAGCAATTAATGAATAGGAAGAAGCAAAGATATTCATCCTCTTGGACCTAAAGTCTCTCAAATATAGTATTTCTAACAGTTTTTTGTTTGTTTTATATTCCAAGAGAAATTTTTAGAAGCAAACAGTCCATCTTTTAAGATTTATAGAAATCAGAGGAAAACAGAATTGTAAGTTGAAAGGTAAAAATAATGCTGGTTTGGCTCAGTGGTTAGAGTGTCGGCCTGGGAACTGAAAGGTCCCAAGTTCTATTCCAGCCAAGGGCATATACCTCAGTTGCAGGCTAAATTCCCAGACCCCATTGGCAAAAGAACGGGAGGCAACCAATCAATGTGTCTCTCTTGCATCAATGTTTCTGTCTCTCCCTGCCTCTTCCCCCCCTTCCACTCTGAAAAGCATTGGAAAAAATATCCTTGGGTAAAGATTAAAAGAAGAAGCAAAAATTGTACACTGTCCCTAGTTTTAACCACATCTCCAATGCAACTTTTTTCCAAAGGATCTAAGTTGTTAATATGATCAGTGCCCTGGTACAGATGCTACCTAAAGAGCTGAGGGCATAAAGAAAAATGTAAGGCCTAAAAAATTACAGACTGAAATATCAATTTCAAATACTATAAAGTTGACTAGGTAGAGAGCATTAAATAAAGGGCAGAGGGGTTGATTTTAAAATTAGTAACAACTAACTTCACTGGACTCTATAATTTGTTGTGGGGCTCCACCCAAATATGTACTTTGTCAATTATTAATAGCTTAACTAGAAAACTATTTTAGTTATGTTCCAGTTTGTTTTTTCCTGTGATTGTTTGAATTAGTAATAAAATATACAAATAAACATAAAAACTCAGTCAAGTTATGCATGTCATTCTTATGTTGAGCTATCTGGAATTGTAGCTGCACTGCTTTTACATTATATAACTTAGTAAACTATTTTACATTTTATTTCCAATTATATCTTACCATTCAAGTTGTATATGGAGAAGCGATAAGAAAAATTGGCCATGTTTGTTTCCTGGCGAAGAGGAGATCGTTTTACTGGTTCCATGGGCTTATCAGAATCCAAACTCTTTAAAAAAGAAAGTTCAGTAAGTCATATTATATTCACACTTCAATGATATAAAAGGACAGTTTGTTTTATGATTAAGTGAACTGTTATAGAATACATAATAAAACCAAAGTTTTTCTAGGTAATAGCCTTAAGGAAAAGTAATTGGTTTTCATATTATTTTGGTTATAGTTTTTTCAATTTTTAAATAATGATCTTACTTAATTCACTTGAGACTGTGATAGTTCAGAGTAAATATCTTTCCAAATATGTCAAATATAGCAATGTAGTTCATTTTACATAAATTCACTATAAAATACACTAGGTATATGAACATGGGCATGGTAAGATAAGTAGGAAGAAATGATGCAGGTAATTCTGTTATCTTTTTCTTCAAAGTAATTTGTTTTTGGTCCAGCAGAGAGTCATTGTTGGCATGAGGGACCCTGAAGATATGGCACAATCTTGGACTCAAAATTAGTGCGACTCAAGATCTTAACAGAGGCTACAATTTTAAACAATAATGAAATATCCTTGTTCTTTTCAAGTTCTATGAGGGCACACTGTAACCCAGCTGCACTGCTTGCGCTAAGTCTAGAATTATACTGTACTTCAGGGTAGGCTATCTTCTAAGTTATCTCACCACCTTTTAAAATGACACTTTTTCTACAATAAGGAAAATAAGATGTTTACAACAGAGAAACTCAGGGTAAGGATCAGTAGCTATATAGCATTTATTTAAATAAATTTGTAAATATTGGGATTAGTGTTTTAAAACTTTAGTTTCTACCTATAATTATCACATAGATTTCAAATAAAAAAAGAATGCTGGACAGTAGAGTCGTGGAATTAAATTAGAATGCCATCTTCTTTATTCATTTATCTCAAGATAAAATGAATCTACTCAGAAAGTGTCCATCCAGTTTTTAAAACTATCATATTTAGTAGATTTATTCAGTGCCTTATTTCAAATATTCACAAAACAGCGAGGAAATACTTTTATCTCAAACCAAAATCCTCCACTGCAATTTAAGTCCTAAGTCTCCTTCTCTCAGTGGAAATGAAGACTAATTAATAGGTAGGATGTTTTCTGTTGAATATAATTGAGGACATATTAGAAGTCAATCTATTTACCAATTTAAATAAACAGATACTTGTTATAATTATCTGCTGTGTCCATGGCAATGGGGCAACAAGGGAAAGAGTGAGAAGTACTCCTTGATGCCAAGAAATTTAGCGGGGAGGGAGTGAGTGTCATTGAGAATTTGAAAAAAGCTGTGCACCTTCCAGAAAAATGCAAATACACACAAAATTTTACAAATGATTTCAGAAGATTCACCAACCACTTAAAACTTAAACCCGATTTAATACAAAATTGAGAATCCCATTAACACGGTATGTGTGATACAGGTGTAAAGATGACACTTTGTAGTGAACTAAAATAAGAAACAAAAAAACTTGAGGTTTAGCCACTAACTTAGTAAAAATGTCTGAAAATTTCTAAAGTGTTAAAATGCAACTGTTAGCAGTGGGCCACATCACACAACAGGTTTTTTTTACCTTTTTCTCTAGAGACAGATTTGTATAGTAAAAAGAAGTCACAGCATTAGTCAGGAGTCAACTTTTTTGGTGAGTGGTTCTTCACATTTAGACGTCAGGGGATTTAAAATATAGAGAGTAATAAAAGGTACTGAACCAGTAGAAATGCCATCTGCAGTGGAGTAGCATGGAGTACTCTTTTTGGCTCCCTTCCCAAGTATGAGCAATTAAACCATACGGTCAGGTCAACCCTATACATGTCAGCTGGCAATTATTATTTTCTATTTCCTTTATTTTGCTTCCTCTTTCCTTTTTCTCCTCAGCATAGGAATACACAGCCTAGTCATCATCTTTATGCCAAAATCTTTACCTTTTTAAAAAAACTGAGAGGTTGAAATGGTTTCACAACTACAGATATAAGAAAATACCTTTCTCTCAACAAGTAATGTTATTTCTCCTGACTGGAGATGAAGGAAATGATTCTTATGAGATCCTAGTAGAATTGAAAGCACTCTCCTCAAAACTGAGCAATAACAGATTATGGTCATAACATGTCTGCTTTTCAAAATGATCTAAGAATTATATGAAGAGTTTATCAGTTTCAATTATAGACTGTTATAGAGAGAGGGGAACAAACCAGTATTTTAAGTTCCCACCTTACCATCTACTTTTCTACTAGTTAAGGAATCTCATACTTAAACAATTTTATACAAAAATTCTCCCCAGAGATATTAATAATGAACGAAAATAAATTTTGTTCTAATGTTCTCATTGCCATAAAGTTAAAGTTGTTTTAATATAATCTATCAACTGGGGTAGTAATAGTGTACCCTTTTATTCTAAAAGTGACTTGGTTTAGAGGATAAGGTCATTCTTTAAAACAAACAAACAAACTACCCAAGATAAAATAAAACCAAGTGAAAAGGCTTTTCCACAGTTTTAAAATGCAGCTGGGAATGAAATTTTGAAGTATTCTGGAATCATGTAATAGAAAATATTTGCACATGAAGATATTATTTATGTTGTAAAATGTATTCAAATTCACTAAGCTATGAAATAAAATCTGCTAAAATTTAGACTTTAAAATTTTAGGTTTTAAACTTCTTAACCAGCAGTCTCAATTTATGAAACAGATTTGTAAGTAATCCCTGTAGATGGACAGAAGCTCTGTCATAAGTACTTTTTTAAAACTCCTTCAAATAACCAGAGAAGATAATATCTTATCCTATAGTAATATTCATTTACTTGTTAATGTTTTGGACATTTTCCTTTTATAGCAGTATTTAAAAATGTAGCCTATATTCATATCCTTATGACTATACTGTAAACTTTTAGCACAGAGTGATGACTTAAAATCCTCAACCAGTTTTTCAAGCACTATTTCTAACCTGAGTGAGTTTGTCTAGTTCCCCCAGCCAGGCTCCAAACATTTTGTCCAGATCTTGATCTTCTTTGTCACTGTCTTCTTCAGCACCATGGTCAATTTCTTCATCTGATAGCTGCTCCATCTGAAACAGATATTTGTGTAGAATAGTTACAAATTAAACTTAAATTATGCAGTATATGTTCTAATACATATTGCAACTCTCTGGAGTCAAACCTTCAAAACTAGAGATTATATTATAAAAGGAAATTAGAAGTCATTACTGGCGACAGGGTTGACGAGGAGAAATGAAAGATTAAGTCTCAAATTTTTAGAAAACTGTGAAAGAATGAACTGCATCAGATTATGACCAGAATCACAAGCAGCAATAATTTAAAAATTGCAGATTACTCCCATTAATTAGAGGATATGATAGCATACCAGTTCTCTCCAGTAATAGATTCTAAAATGCCCCAAACACCAGTGAAACAATTCCAGGGACTTTTAAGTATAAGTCACTTGAACAAAAAGATATTTTCCTTCTTCCTATTAATAAAATAATGCAATATCTGACGTGGAACTTGCATATTATTTTGTGAGGGGAGGAAAAGATTACACAACACAAAATAAGATCAATGACTGGACACTTAAAGTTGTTAAAGTAAGTTAATCTAATTTTTAAAAATAATATTAAAAGCTCTGAGAAATCTTCAGTAAAGCTTAGGTTTGGCTTAGAACAACATATTCTATATGTTCTACATTTATTTAAGCACAAATCCTTTTCCTTCAGTTTGGAGTAATACCTATTAACTCTCTCAGTGACATAATGAATACCATCACTGTACATTCCATACTCTTGACTCACATTTCTGAAACACAGATTTTGTTCTAATGGATCTACACAACATTAGGAATACAACCTTCCAGCTGGTTTAAACAATTCCTCAGAACTTAAAGATATCCTTAACTTCAAATAAGAATTTGTACGTATCTTACACCTCTCCAAAGCAGCAATCAACAAAATTACCTCTGTGATACTGAAATGTGGTTATGAGATAGGTAAAGAATCGAATTAGCTGATAAGATGTCATGAAGTTAAAATTTAAACCTTATTTTACTATATAAAATTTTTCAGAAAGGGTCAAATAATATTGCAAAATCAAACTGAACTTAGTTCTAAACAATGCTAAAAATCAGAACATATCTCATTTAATCACTGAAGGGAAATAATTTTCTTAAGCTTAATAACAAAGGATAACAGCTTATCAATATCTCTAATAAAAACCGATCATTCTAATTTCACTGCTCTAAGCATGTATAAATCAGGGCATTCTACCTTAACAAACAAAAATAGATCCACTAATTTTCCAATTCATAAATGTGGCTTAAAGAGATTTGGTTTTTATAATTCACTTGTGTTAATAATATTTCTTAAGATTTTTATTCATTACTGAATTACCAACAGATCAATCTCAATTGATATTATTCTTCATTAAGTTATCTACTCATGAAAAACAAAATGTTAGTGCAAAGAAAAACCTCATCTGATCAGGTGACTTACTCAAATAATAGTTGCTAGTTTGATAACATCTAGGTGTAGTAATACCCACTCTTCATGATAAGGTCAACAAGCATCAGAACTGGGAAGATAATAGTCAACTTCCTCTTCCTCCCTAATTTTCAAAACTAAACACATTGGAACAACTCAGAAGCTAAAATATTCTAGAAGTAATTCTGCTTTGAGATAATGATACTTATGTCTGCACTTCCCTTCTGAGCACACATAAGGGAGATGCTATACTGGAAGAAAAAAAAAAAAGAAGCAATAGGAATATAATTTTATAGAACAAACACAAAATAGTTCAAAATGAATGTATTTTAAATTATCACAAAGCCAAATAGAATTAGACTCCACATCGAAGTCTGCTGTGTTTTGTGTTATTATTATTAAAACCCAATAATTATTTAGATTTAAAAAGTCTCTTTAAATATTTTCATTAATAGTTTGTTTTTATCTAGACTACAATATACTCAAGTAGAGTAAAATATGGATAGGAAACAATGACAGAGTCTAAAATAAATGGAAATTTTGAAGCAACTATTCAACTTTTACCATTTATATAACTTGCCAATTTTATCCTTTCTTGAATTCCTATTACCACCTGAGTTATTTTATACAAATTAACAAGACATTTATCCAGAGACTTTTCCAATGAAATTTAGGTTCTGCAACATGTAAGGATCTACACTCTAAAGCAGCGCTCTCCATTCCTTTGAAGGTGATGCTGATCTTTATTCTCTTACCTCTACTGTGGTATCAATTCTATTTATTACACACACCGAATGAGGAGCCCAAAGAACGTTTTTTTAATGGACTCTGACCTGTCTAAAGTCAACAAATCTAGTAAAGAAATTCATTCCCTGTTATATAATCAATGCCTGTCTCCAATTAAATCACAATTCTAAACCAGAATTTTCCCAACATAATGCCCTTACTGAAAATGACAACAGCATAAAATGCAAATAAATAATAGTCAGTCAACTGTCCCTCCAAACAAAAGGAGAACAATTAAGGAAAAGAAAATAGAACGTATCAGTTTTGTTTTAAAAATAATTTGGCTTTAAATGGATAGCTTATAATATGATGCTTTTCTTTAATGATGTGGATAAAGGCCTAAACAAACTATAATTATACTAGAACAAATACTGTGACTATTAGATTAGGTACTTTGGGGAGAATATATTAAAGTTGTACTTAAATTCCCTGTTCCATTACATCTATGTCCTGAATGAATAAATGTATCCTAGCACAAATGAAAAGGTTTACTCCCTCCAAGATGCAGACATATTGAATATAGACTAAAATCCAAAGTTACTAGCAGGTCAACCAGTTCCTGTGTAATCCTGGCCTTCAGGGACCTCTCTGACCTCTCTTCCCACTCTCCCCTCCAGCCACAGTGTCCTTCCTGCCTGCTGTGCTTTGGAGCACATTCCGGGGAGAGAAGGTGTGGATTCTGTTTTGAAGATAGACAGAGAGATGTCTGGCAAACATCCAACTGGAAAAAAGTGAAGAGTTAAGCCAATGAGGAGGTTTAGTTAGTCTGAGTATTATTTCAAAATCATGTTTATTACAGAAAAATCATAAATCATAAATTATAGTAATATGACTTGGCTAATATCTTAAACCAGTTTTCATTTATTTTATTCAATAAAGTAAAAACAGAAATAATGGAGGAATACAACCATTGCTTATAACTGGTTGGTGAATAATCATGCTTCAATTATTCAATTGTAATATATAGTAAGCTCCACTACATATAATGAAAACATCCATTTAGTACGCCTTAGTATGAAACAATAATATTTCCACTAAATTTTCCATTAAGTTAATTATTCAAGAATATTGTCCCTAAACCTTCCTCTTGGGAGATATTTTTGTTTACTCTTCCATTTCCTCACTGTGAGACAGAGTAATGATCTTTATCAAGAAGGCTGGGCTTAGATTACAGTTTAAAAATTTGAGTAAATACATTCCAGGTAGGGCAAATTACAAAGAGCAAAGGAGAAAGTCTGTGTTTGTGAGACTGTCATGAGATTGTCTCAAATAAAACAACAAGAGTGAGAGTTAAAAGTCAAGGACTGAGGCAGGACCTGGTCATACAGAACTTGGAAGCCCGAAGGCAACTGGATTCTTAAACATAGAAATGAAAGGGGTAGGGGTAGAAATAGTATTTTATTCAAAGGACATGGTGCCAATACAAGAGGTATTAGAGAAGGGAAAGACCATTAGAAGGCTACTGTATATATTAGGTAGAAATCATTATAAATAGGGAAATTGAAGTCCTGAGAGGAAATAAAGTTACATAAGTGACATACTTAGAGAGTGGCAGGAAAAATACATGATGTATAGCTAGGGTGCCTTATTTGTTACTATTTTTATCCCTTTAATAATTCAAAAATAGTTGTTTTGTTCAAAATAAGCACTCTATACTTAAGACCACGGGAAAACTCTCAGAATACAGGGGGAGTGCAGAGCTGCCACTACAGTATTTCTCTAAGTCTAGCATCCTCAATGTTCCAAAGAGTAAAAAGAAACTTTGATTGTAATATTTACATCTACTATGTGCCAGACACTGGAAGAACAGAGATGAAGATGACAGCCTCTGTCCTGAAGGAATACATAATCTAGTAGGGGACAGACAAGGAACCAACAATGATGAAACATTGTGTTAAGTGCTATAATAGAAGTATGTTATATGAGTGTAGTTTAACTCAATTTGAGAAGGAAAGAGGAAAGGTGTGATGCTTCAGGCAAGATCTGAAGAACTTGTAAAGGAGAGAAAGAGAAGGGTGTTTTAGGCAGAGGGACCAGAATGTGCAAGGGTATAAAGATGTGAGAAAGTAAGAAATGTTGAGAATTCTAAGTTACTTAACATTTCTGAAGCAAAGGTTGTCTAGTGGTGTTATTACATGCCATTGAGTGAGCTCTGACTCCTGGTAACCCTATGAAGGCGTGAGCTGTCTCATTATAGGGTTTTCAAGGTATGAAAGATAAAAGATTGAGGAAAAAAAGTGCAGCAGTGATTTACCATTGCCTTCTGCTGCAGTGTGGGTCCAACCACATGTGCTTGGATCCACGGTGTCATAAATCATCAAAAGCCTACGAAATATAAGCATTTCTGCAGGAATGTGTGGTGTAGACCTATAGGAAATGGAGCTAGAGAGAAGGCAGGGGCAAAATTATAAGCCATACCAAAGAATTTGGCCATGATGCTGCCCAGCAATGTTTTTCTAATTGTGGTCTGATGACCTGCATCAAAATTACCTGGGGTGCTTCTTTTAAAGTCAGCTTTAAAATGGTCTGCCCAAGATCTACTGCATACTAATTTCCAGGGAGTGGGACATTTTTAACACGTTTCCACAGGTATTTATGTCCACTAAAGTCTGACGGCTGCTGTAATGTGTTGTGTTATAATTACTGGGAGGACTTGTAAGACAGAAGTAAAGGAGTTTACATAACCACAATTTGGTTAAAGGCAGAACAGCCTAGACCAAGTTCTCCCTAAGACCATAAAGAAATTAGGCAGTATCGGGATCCCCTAATTAACATACCCCAATTACTCCTCCTCTGTTACCATAGTTCCATGCTTCTCAGAGTTATTAATTTAGAAATAAATTTTAGTCCTTTACAATCCAGTTATGTTTCAGTAGCTCTGTAACACACAAAAAATAAAAATGGTGTTTTAAACACCTCCTATGCTGCTCTAATCCGGTA